AGTTGGACGATGCAACGAGGCTCTTGACAAAGGGGTTCCAGCTCACACAGCTCAGCTTCGAGTCTCCCGCCATCTCTGCCACCGGGTACTGCAGTAACTCCTCCTCGTGCCCCTCCCCATGCACCTCTTGCCCTTCCTCGCCTCCCCACGCTCCTCCCCCTCCGCCCCCTTCCCTCACTCGCCCATACCTCCCCCTTCCAAGCCTCCCCCTCTCCGCTCCTCCTGCTTCTCCTCCCTCTTCCTCCCCCTCCCCCTCCTCCTCCTCTACCTCCATCCCATCCCTCGCTTCCCTCACCCGCGCCTCTCGCTCAGCAGCGGCGCGCAGCACGGCATTGCAGTCAAACACCTTGATGCGCTTGCACACGCCCGCCGAAGCAAAGAACTCCCCGTCCCGGTCGAACGCCACCGAGCACACCATGTCTGCCGAGCCTAGCAGGTCGCCTCGGCGCAGCGCCGCCCGAACCTGCAGCTTGCCGAACCTGGTGTAGCGGGAGAGGCCCTCAAAAAAGTGCCCCAGCCAGGGCTGTGCTGGATGGGTGGTGACTGGTGCAGGTGCCACCGGTGCAGGCACTGCTACTGGTGGTGCTGCTGCTGCTGGTGCTGGTAATTCTGCAGCTGTAGCTGCTGGTGCTGGTGCTGCTACTGCTGCTGCTGGCGCTGGTGCTGCTAATTCTGATGCAGTTGCCTGTGCTGGTGCTGCCAGTGCCGGTGCTGCTTCCGGTAGCAGCGCAGACGCTGCTGCTTCACTTGCAGCATGTGAAGGCTCAGTCTGTGTCTCAGGCTCAGTCTCAGGCAGCGCAGCAGCAGGGACAGGATGGGAGGGCCCAGAAAGCCCGTGCCTCAAGTGCTCTGAAGCTCCCCGCAATTCTCCCCGACCACCAGAGCGACCACCTCCTCCTCCTCCTCCTCTTCCTCCTCTTCCTCCTCGTGCCACCCCCTCCGTATCCACAGAGAACAGAGTCCCATGTGTACCCCGTGTTGTGGTCGGCACATTCAGCATGCTGCTATCAACCACGAAACCACCACCACCACCACCAGCACCACCACCACCAGCAGCACCACCAACAGCACCAGCCCAGCTGCCCCCCCCACCAGACGAGCTCTGCTGCTGCCAGCTGTGCTGCTGCGCCGCTGCTGCCGCTGCCGCACGTTCCCACACAGGAGGCGTTCGGCTCCTCTCACCCTGCTTCGGAGAAATCTCAAAAGGGGTTCTGCTCCTTTCACTCTGATTCCCTCCATGCCACCGTCTCGCATTCCAGCCTCCTCCCCCTCTCATCCCCTCCTGCCCCGCACCTGTGCCGCCAACACCCTCCTGCCTCGCTCTACTGCCCAGTGCCGGTTCTACCTTCTCCCTGCTGCTGGCGCTGCTGGTGCTGCCGTGTGTGTGCAAGGCTTTTCGTTTGCTGCTGCCGCCTCTCTCCTCTCTGCAATCATCATCCGCTCCCACGCTGCTTGCGTGCCGCTTTCGTTCAAAGCGAGAAGCAGGGGCACGGCTGGACCCAGGAACAGCAGGCTCTGCACTCCCAGCACCACCAGTGGCATCGCCAGTGCCATCACCACCATCAGCAGCCGCCGTGGCAGTGCCATGTGCAGAGGACGCCTTCAGACACGCGCCCATTCGAGCAGCCCCACCAGCTGCCGCTGTACCTGCCGACGCCGCTGCCGCTGTGGGTGTGGTTGCAGGTGAAGCAAGGGCAGCACCTCCTCCTACCCTTTCCGTCACATCATCCCCACCCACAGCCATGGCATCATCCCTTGCGCAGCCACTCCCCCCATCCCCACCAGCTGCAGTAGTTGTCGGCCCATCTAGCCTCAACGCCTTCACCGTTTGAAGCACACAGCCCAGCCGCCCCCACACCTCTTGCATGTGGCCCCCATCCGCCCCGTCCCCATCCCTCCCTGCAGCCCCCCCCTCTCCAGCCCCCTCTCCTGCCACCACACCTGCCCCTCTACCTGCCCTTCCCCTTGCAGCCCAGTAAGAAACAGCACCTTCCGACCCTCCAGAATGAGTTTGTTCTGCGAAGGCCCGGGTTTGAAGCAGATGCTGCTGCTGCTGCTGCGGCTCGCTGCTGTCCGCATGCACACGTGCATGTGCAAGTGAGAGAACATGTGAATCACCAAGGCCAGGAGGAGTGACAAACGCCCCGGCCGGCCCCATGGCCCACTGCCGTCTCAGCCACGCCTTGACAGCTTCCGGAAGGTTCTGCCAAGCTTCCTCTGCGGCTGTAGCGCCTGCTTCTGCAGGAGCAGCACGAGATACAGCCGACGCTACAGCCGCTTGTGCTGACGCTGCAGCCATGCCAGCGGTATTCAAAGCTGTAGCTGCAGCACCAGCAGCAGCAACAGCAGCAGTCAAGGCTACTGCTGTAGCACCACCAGCAGCAACAGCTGCTGCTGTATCCTCACTGGTTGTGGCTGCCCCAGCACTAGCTGCAACTGCAGCAGCCGGAGGCAACGAGGAGTTGCCCGGTGCACCAGCACCAGCCAAACCGGCACCACCACCTGTAGCGGCACCAGCCATAGCAGCTGTAGCAGCAGCTGTAGCAGGCGGTGGCGCACCAGCACCAGCCAAAACGGCACTATCACCCGTAGCAGCAGCCATAACAGCTGTAACAGCAGCAGCTGTAGCAGCGTCCGTAGCTGCATTTGTAGCAGTATCTGTAGCGTTTTCAGTAGCAGCAGCGCCCGTGCGGGCACGGAGGGCAAGGTAAGCCTCTTCCAGCTTATCAAACCTCTGCAGCATGCGGTTCAAACGGCCCCCCAGCCTCCTCTCATACACCACCCGCCTCCGCCGCTCCTCTTCCCTCTCCCTCGCCCCCTCACTCCCCCCCTCCCTCTCCCTGGAGCTAGACCGCATCGGCACTGTAGCACCTGACTGCGTTTGACTGCGTTGACTTCTCTGACTTCTCCTGCTTGCGTCCCCCTGCACCTGAGGGCTCTTTGGTGGGGTGCCTGGAACTGGAGCTCTTGTCCGCATTGACTTTGTTGACTTTCCAGACCTTGCTGACCTGGCGCTACAGAAAGACGATCCAGCCTGGCCACTTCCCCACCTCCCTCCCTCACCTCCCCTCTCACCCTCGTCTCCTCTCCCTCCTGCCCTGCCTTGCCCTGCCCCAAGACAAAGTCGGGTGCACTCCTCTCCTCTTCCCCTCCTGCTCTGTGACTCAATTCCCCCCTCTGCCTCAGCTACTACTCCCTGTCTTACACCCCCACGCATGTCCCCAACGTCCTCTTCTATCCGCTGCCTTTGGCCGTGCCTCCAGCCACTCCCACTACCGTTCCTGCTCTGCTCCCTCGCCCCTACCCTTGCACCTGGCTCATCGACCTCTCTTGCTGCACCATCCTTTTCCGCTCCTCTGGCCGCAGCTGTGTTGGTGACGTGGCACGCGTTGATAGGCCGAGACAGCGCCAGCAGCAGCTGCCTCCTCTCAGCGACCTCTGCCACGTCAGCAGAGAGCCCGTCCAGGTTGGCGGCCACCTGCTGGGACGTCTCCGCCTTGCCCTGCTGCACCCTCAGGAGAAAATCCAGGAGCACCTCGTTCTCCTCCTCCCTCTCCGCCAACTCCGATTCGGTCAATGTTTCAGGTGCTTCAACAGTCAGCTCCTCCTGTGTCAGCGCATGAGGCGATTCCACCAGAGGCTCCTCCTGTGGCAGTCTCACGCCCGCCAGTTCCTCACACCGAGCCCTCTTGCTCCCTCGCATCCCCACTGCCTCCCCTCCTCCCTCCTCCTCCTCTTCCTCTTCCTCCTCTTCCTCCTCTCCCTCTCTGCCATGCCTACCTTCCCCACCACCATCAGCCTCTTCCTCTCTCTCTTCAGCCTCCTGCGTCCTCTCTCGCTTTCTACTCAACTCAGCAGTACCAGGAAACGCATGGCCTCTAGTCCCCTCCCCAACCAAACCGGCACCAGCAGCAGCGCCCTCTTCTCCTGCCTCCTTCCAGCACCGCCCTTCCTCTCCGACCTCTTCTTCCTCATCATCCTCCTCCTCCACCTCTTCTCTCTTATCTTCCCCCTCCCGCACCTCTCCCTTTCCACCGCGCCCACCACCATCCAAATCCTCGTCCTCTTCACCGTCATCACCTTCATCTTTCATCCAACGCATACCACCTTCCTCCCCATCACTCACTTCAACCATCGGTTCCTTGCCTGGCCTGCGCTGCCGTGGCCCCTCCTCTCCCTCCTCTCCCTCCTCTCTCTCCTTTCCCTCATCACGCCCCTCCACATCCCTGCTAACGCACACACCGCCATCAACAATACCATCATGAGAGCGTGCATGTTCATGCCCATCCTGCCCCCCTTGTCCCTCCTGCTCCTCCTGCCTTTCCTGTTCCCTCTCCTGCCCCTCCTCCTGCCTCACCTCCTGCCCCTCCTCCTGCCCCTCCTCCTGCCCCTCCTCCTGCCCCTCCTCCTGCCCTTCCTTCCCCTCCTGCCCCTCCTCCTGCCCCTCCTGCTCCTCCTCCTGTTCCTCCTTCCCCTCCTGCTTCTCTTGCCCCTCCTTCCCCTCTGCGTCCCGTTGCACTTCCGATGCTTGCCGGGGTGAGAACGACACGGACAGCTGGCACTGGGGGGAGGAAGCTGCGGGGGAAGCTTCTGCAGCGAGGCGGAGAAAGAGGCTGTTTGTGAGGACGTCCCTGAGGAGGAGAGGAGGGATGGGTACGTGAGGGATGGGAGATGGATAGAGAGGCTCTACATGTTCAGAAACAGTGAGAGTGTATCCCCGACTCTAAAGACATCCAAACACAAGTTGAGGCATGAGCGATATGGCTACATTCATGTAGATGAGTAGCGAGGCATCTCAATAAGAGATCACATACCTCATGGGCGGGCGTCTGGAGGGCAGGGGGTGCAGCAGGCAGAGGCAGAAGGCGGCACCGGTGGGGAAGGCCATGAGGTACCCTGTGGGCAGCACCCGGCTCCTCACATCCTCCATTGCACTGCTGCACTCGTGTCACTGGTGAAATATCTCAGAAATGACAGACATATCTCTTGGGAGGACGTACCTCATGGGTGGGCGTCTGGAGGGCAGGGGGTGCAGCAGGCAGAGGCAGAAGGCAGCACCGGTGGGGAAGGCCATGAGGTACGCTGTGGGCAGCACCCGGCTCCTCACATCCTCCATTGCACTGCTGCGCTCTGATTGGTCGCTCATGGGACACGTCAGCTGTGGCAGGAGGAGACGGTGGGGGCGAAAAGAAATGAAGGCGCCGCGCAGAAGGACATGGGATCAACAGACGGACGGGAAAGGCAACCGACAGGTGGTAAAGGAAGGGATAGACGGAGAAATGACTGATGGTACGAATGGGTTTGGTACTTAATCTCAATTATTCTGCTGGAAATACTTTCTTCTTCTGATAATTGAGTCAAACTCTCGTTTGAAATGTGACTCGGTTGAACTTGGCCTCGTTGCCAGCTCCCCCAACAAAGTAACTTACCTCAAAGAACAGCATCCCCAGCCGATACACATCCGCTGCCATCTCCCTTTCCTTCTCCCTCCCTGCATCTCCCACACCCTCTCCCTTCCCACTTCCTGAGCCGCGCCCTTCCGGTGCTGCATAGTACCCCCTCTCCTCCTCCTCCTCTTCCCCATCCTCTACCACCACGGCACCCTCAACCTCCCCCCCACGCATCTCTTCCCTGCTGCAGCCACCAGCCGCATTGGCAGCACAGCAGAAGGGCAAGAGCCAGTGCTGAGGCCCAAGCGTGACCCGGATTCTAGATGGCAACAGTTGATCTCCCAAAGCCTGTCCGTTCGTGTGGGCTGCAGTCACTAGCCGAGCAATCTCACAGAAGACCCACACTGCTTGATGCCTGATGGGCAGTGGTGATATGGCAGGGCAGTTGCCGCTGACAGTGGTTGCTGCGCTTTCGTTCTCATGCTGTTGCTGCGTGTGACACAGTGAGAGGAAGCGCCGGAGGGATAGCACGTGGGAGCAAGAGTGGCGACGAGCGGTGACGGACGATTCTGACGCCCCTCCTTCTGCTCTTGCTGCTACGACGAGCAGTGCTGGAGCAGTGATGGAAGATTCTGACGCCCCTCCTCCTGCTGCTGCTGCTTCTGCTGTTAAGACCGTCGCAGCATCTGCTGCTGCCTCCTTTGCTTCAACATCTACTGCTTCAATTGCTGGTTCCTCTGCTGGCCGTGGCTGGCAAGAAAGAGCCGATCCAGGAACAAACTCACGTACGTGCCTGCCCTGGTGCTCCTGCTCCCGTTCGTCCTGCTCCCGCTCCTTGCCTTCTCGCCCCTGCTCCAAATCCCCTCCCTCCTCCCCCTTGACCTCCAGCTCCTCCTTCACTTGCTGCTCCTCCTGCTGCTTTCGCCACCGCTGTCGGTGCTGCGTCAGCCAGTTCACCACACGTGAGCGTGCTCTAGGCACTGGAGGATCCACCAGCAACGCATCAAGCTCTTCATCAGGCCCTGAAGACTGGTGCTCTGGGGAGTCGGGAGCTGGCGAGTGGGGCGCTGAAGCCTTTTGAGACGTCTCAAAAATCGCATCAGGCTCTTCATCAGGCCCTGAAGAGTGGTGCTCTGAGGAGCGGGGAGCTGGCGAGTGGGGCCCTGAAACCCTCTCCTGCTTCTCCCCCTCTATCCTCCCCTTCTCGAACCACTTTCCTGTCTCTGGAGCGCCCAACTCAAGTCCCAGCGACAACCCAACCATGCCTCCTCCCACCTGCTCCCTCCCGTCCCCTTCTCCTCCACCCAGACCGTCTTCACTCCGTTGACCCTGTTGACTCTGTTGACTCTGCTGTGCCGCACACGCTCCTCCCAACCCCAGATCCAAGCCCATGCCTGCTGCCTCCTCTGCCTTTGCATCAAGCCACATGTCTGCTGCCTCGTCTGCCTCTGCGTTCATGTCTACCAGCAGCAGGTGCGCGCCTGGCCTCGCCCTGCTGCCACTTGCCCCACCAACACACGCACTTGCCCCACTGTGCTTGTCACACACCCCGTCCGCAGGTGCAGCAACAGCAGCAGCAGCAGCGGCAGCGGCAGCGGCAGCAGCGGCAGCGGCGGCAGCAGCAGGGGCAGCAGCAGGGGCAGCAGCAGGGGCAGCAGCAGGGGCAGCAGCAGGGGCAGCAGCAGCAGCAGCAGGGGCAGCAGCAGGGGCAGCAGCATGAGCGTTGTAGTCAGCAGCGGAACCACAACCATTATCATCCAGAGGTTCAGAAGCAGCCCACTGACCAGCACCAGCGTCAACAGCAACAACGGCAGCAGAACAGCCAATTCCACCCTCAGGCTTGGCAGCGGCACAGTGATCATCAGCACCAGCGCCAACACCGACAACAGCAGAAACACAGCCGACTTCACCCTGAGGCTCGGCTGCAACACAGGGATCAGCATCAGTGCCATCGCCCTCCTCTCCATCCGCCCATCCTTCCCCCGGCTGCGCCTCATTCAAGTCAAACGCAAGCCGCCACTCCTCGCCCCCACCCCCTCCCCCACTCGTCCCTTGCTCTGCTACCGCATCCGCATCCCCACCAGCCACAGCACCCACACCGCCACCACCACCACCACCACCACCATCATCAACATCTTCATCCCCACCATCGCCGCCCTTTCTTCTCCCAACTCCTCTAGGGTTGTCCTCGTGAGAATCATACTCCACGCCAAAGTCGGACTCAAAACCCCACCTCTCCATTGATCCATCCTCTGAATTCTCGTACACCATCCTAGAAGATTTAGTTCCCTCCATAGCCACTCCTTCGGCAGCAGTACCAGTAGCAGCAGGAAAAGAAACAGAAGCAGTCGCATCCGCAGCAGCAACAGCATCTGCAGCAGCAACAGCAGCAACAGCACCTACAACATCCTCCCTTAACACATGCCCTCTTTCCACTCCCACCAACTCCTCCTCCTCCTCCTCCTGCTCCTCCTCCTGCTCCCTGCACCCATTCCCCCTCGCCTTGCTCCCTATCCATTGCAGATACAGCAGGGGTGCCTTCGCGCGCATGTGAGGCACTGCCCACATTCACCAAGCCCTCCTCACTTCCCGCTCCCGCACTGCCCTCTCCCCCATGTCTCGGGCGGTCCACATCCTCCTTTCCTCTTCTCTCCTGCTCCCCTTCGCCCATTTCCACCTCCTCTCCCTCCTTCCACTCTGCTTGTTCTTCCACCTCTTCACCTCCTCGCTCGCCTCTCCTCCCCTGCTCCCCCTCCGGTTCTCCCCCCTCCCCTCCCTCCTGCTCCCCATTCTTCTCTCCCTCTCCCTCTCCCTCTCGTCCCCCTTGACCTCTTTCCCCGTCTCCTTCCCTCTCTCCTTCCTCCTCTCTTTCCCCCTCTCTCTCACCCTCTCTCTCCCGCTCTCTCTCCCCCACTTCCTGTTCCTCTCCCTTTTCACCATCCTGCACCGCCTCCCTCTCCCGCTTGGCCTGCTCCTTCTCAGCGAGCTCCATGGCCAGCAGCTGCTGCAGCTGGTACTGTTCAAACTCAAACAGCTGCTGCTGCCGCTGCCGCAGGAAGAAAAACTCCAACCTGCGCCTCCGCTCCTCCCTTGCCTCCTCGTCCTCCCCCTCCTCCGCCTCCTCCCCTCCCTCTGCCACTGCCTCTCCCTCGTCCCCATCCACCCTCTCGTTCTCACCTGCCCGAATCCGTTCCCCTTCCATTTCCTCCTGGGTCTCCTGCCCCCTGTGCTGCTGCGACCCATCTATCCGCTCCTCTCCCTGCTCCTCTCCCTGTTGCCCTCTATCCCCTGCCTCCTCTCTCTCCTCTCCGTGCTCTATCTCTTCTCCATCTTCCACAACAGCCGCCCCCTCACCCTCCATCCCAGGCTCCTCTCCCTCACCACGCATCAGCACCATTTGCTGCAAAGCCCTCATTTCCTGCATCCCTCTCCCTTGCTGCACGTCTCCCACTTGCTGCAGTGCCGCATCTCTCTCTTGCTCCCCTTCCTCTTCCTGCCCTGCCCCACCCTCGCTGCCGTCCCCTTCCCCTAGCTGCCAGCGCTGCTGCTGCTGCAGCTGCAGCTGTAGCCGCTGCATCCGCAGCAGCCTCTCTTGCTGCAGCTGCGCCAGCCGCTGCCTCAGATACTGCATCTGCATCTCCTCAGGTGAATCGTCCGCCACGTCACCTGCTACTTCAGCTGCTACTTCCGCTGCTATATCCGCTGCCCCAGCTTCATCACCCTCCTGCTCCCTTACTCCGCCCCTTCCCACTCCCTCCTCGCCCCATTCCATCCCTTGCCCTGCCATGTCAATTGCTGCTAGTTCCAAGCCCTGCCGTTCCTCCTCCACGCCCCACTGTTGCTCCCCCTGACCATCTTCTTCCCATCCCACGGGAGTCACACCCTCGATCTGCTGCCGTCTTCTCATCCACTCTAGCTCCTCCTGCTCGGCACTCGGCAATTCCTCTTGCCCCTCCTCTTGCCCCAGGCCCCAGCCCTGCTGCAACTCTTGCTGCACAGCTTGTTCCTCCTCTTCCTCCTGCTGCTGCTGTTCCTGCAGCTCCTCCTCCTGCATTCCCCTGTCCCCTGTCGGTTCCCCTGTCCCTCCCTCCAATAACCTTTGCTGCTCTTCCCACAGCCGCCACTGCTCCCACTCCCTCTGGGCCTCATCCGCGTTTCCTCCGCCCTCTCTTGCTTGTCCGCCCAACCCCTCTCTCTCCTCACCCTGTTCCGCATCCGCAGTCTCTATTGGAGCCTCCTGCTGCTGCCCCTCGTCCCGTCCTCCTCCATCCACCCATCCCAACCCTTGTTGATCAGAACTCTGCTGCATCCCTGCGGATGCACCCAGTATCATCTGCTGCTGCCCCCGCATGAGTTCATGCTGCCCTTGACTACCTCGACGTCCTCCCTGCATTTCTAGCTCCTGCATTTCAGTCTCCTGCTCCTCCTGCCGCTGCAACTCATGCTGCTGTCGCTGCATCATCAACCGCTGCTGCATCTGCTGCTGCTGCATGAACATCTGTAGCGCCACCATACGAGGGTCAACCACACCACCAGACCCGTTCATCTCTATCCCACTCATCCCCAAACTCCTCATCCAAGCAGCAACAGCTTCCCGTGACACTCCCGAATTCAGGCCCAGCATCCCCGCCTGCTCCCCCTCATCCCCCTCTGTTTCCCCTGGCGCCTCATCTCCATGCCCACCACCCTCCTCTCTCACCTCACGCTCCTCCTCACCCCCTCCCTCTCCTCCATTCTCCATCTCCTTCCCATGCACCCCAGCAACCCCCTCCTCCCCCATTCTCCTCGCTCCCCTCTCCTCCTCCTTTGCCTCCTCGTTTTCCCCAATCTCCCGCTCCTCCTCTCCTTCCTTCCCCATGTCCCTCTCGTCCACCTCCCCACAGCCATGCATCTCCTCGCGTCCCTCACCTCCCCCGTGTGATCTTTGCCGTCTGCAGCTCATCAGTGCAATGCGCCCACCACCGCCACCAGAACCACCAGCACCAGAACCACTACCACCAGAACCACCACCACCAGCACCAGCACCACCAGAACCACCACCACCAGCAGCACCACCAGCAGCAGCAGCACCAGCAGTAAGAGCAGTCCCAGAACTAAGAGCAGCACCAGCGGTCAGAGCAGCACCAGCACTACCGCTCTCCACCCACAAGCCTGACGAGGGGTCTGTCCAACCGCCCAAGCCCGAACCAGCTGCTGCTTCCCCTTCCTCCCTCCCATCCACCTCCATGCAGCCACCACTCCCAACCGCACCGTTCCCTGCTGCACCACTCCCAATCGGACCATCATTTCCCTCACCCCCGTCCTCACCACCCACCGCACCCATGCCGTTGCCCCATTGCCCCTCCCCCAACCCATCCACCCGCCTTCCATCTGCATTGGCAGCAGCAGCACCACCAGCACTTCCAGCAGCAGCAGCAGCCATAGCCGACAGAGGTTTCAGCTCCTCTCCTCGTTTTCTCTGGATCACAACCCAAGAGGGCGGCCCAGCACTGACCACAGGCGCCTCATCCCCATCACTCGGCACCCGCATGCGCTGACCCCCCTGCTGCTGACCTAGCCCTTGGCTCTCCCCACTCTCCTGCCCCTGCTTCGTGTAGCATCGCTGTTGTTGCTGCTGCGGCTGCTGCTGCTGCTGCGGCTGCTGCTGCTGCTGCACCTCCCAGCCCTGACGACTGTGGCTCTGAGAATGAGAGCGTGTCAAAGAGCCAGAAAACTGCAACTCCCGCTGATTGCCTTCCTCATCCTGCTGCTCCTGCTGCTGGCCCTCACCCACCCCGCTCCGCCTCTGCTCCGCCTCCCTCTGCTGCCGCATCAGCTGCTCAGACAAAGACACCTCCTTCCGCCTCCCTCTCATCGTCCTCAGCACCTGAACCCTCCCCCCCACCCACACCCCTCGCCCCGCCACGAACCCCCCCCTCCCCGCCCCTCTACCGCGCCCTGCTGCCCCCCCTCGTCCCCTCCCACCCGCACCCACAGCACCTGAAAAATCTCCTGAGCCCCACCGTTGCTCATTCACCTGAAAAAGGTCGCTCCCACTGCCGCCACTGGCAGGGCGGGTCCGCTCGGGATTCGACAGAGCACGGGGCATTGTGGAAGGGGTGGTGGTGGCAGCAGCAGCAGCACCTTCACCTTCAGCCTCACACCATTGCTGTGCTTCTAAGGAAACAAATGGCGCACAGTCAGGAGGAGGAGCGAGAGGAGCAGCGGGTGAGATGGACGGGTGAGCGGCGTCAGCGGGTGGCAAGAAGTTGCTGTTGTTGCTTCGAGAAACGGAGTGGGACGTCCTCCAAACGAAGCCTCTTCCAGCCGCATTCGCCCCATGAGTGCTCCCGCCTCCCTCCATCCACTCCTCCTGCTTCTCGTCCTCCTGACCCGCCATAGGACCTTCCTGCACTCCCTTTGCCTGCCCTTGCATGCCCTCCCTCTGCATGCCCTCCCTCTGCATGCCCTCCCGTTGCATCTCTCGCCGTCGCATCTCTTCCATCTCATTCCGCCGCTCAGACCAGAACGCCGTCTCAGCCTCTCCTACACGCTCCCCGTCACCCCTCTGCTCGCCCCTCTCGCCCCTCTCGCCTCTCTCACACCCCCTACTGCTCCCAACAACCAGCCCTGAAGCACTACCACCAATCATACCTGAGGCGACACCACCAACCAGCCCCGAACCACCTCCCATTCCCGAACTGACTCCCATTCCAGACCCACCGCCATCCAAGCCCGAACCACCGCCACCGCCATTCCCGAACCTACTCGCACGCACCGAGCCACTTCCCAAACCTGCCCCGCCTCCCTTCCCAGAGCTGCCTGCCTGTCCTGTGCTGCCACTTGTGCTCCCCACACGCCTCACATCACCCTCTGGACTACCCACCCGCTGCCTCTTCAAAGCTGCTGCCTTGGGACCCGACAGAAAGCCCCACCCGCTCTTCCCCTTCCCTGCGCCGTCACCACCGCCGCCCCCACTGCCGCCGCCGCCACTCCCACCGCCACTCCCACCCCCACTGCTGCCAATTCGTTTCCCTGAGAGCTTCGACTGCCTTGGACTTCCATCCTGCCCCACGCTGCTCCAAAGCTTCCTACCCCGAGAATCCCTTCCCTCCGACCCATTCTCGCCCCTACCAGCCTCTTCTCTGCGCTCCACCGTACCCCCGCGTGCTGCTCCGCTCTCAGGCGACTTATCCCCGCCGTCGCCACTGTCGCCCTGCTCCTGCAGCTCTGGCATCTGCTCCAGGCGGGCCACCCACTCGTGAATGTCCCCCCCACTGCCTGACGACGCGGTACCAGCGCCAACAGCACTGCCTCCGCCTCCACCTCCCCCTCCACCAGCGCCTGCGCCTCCCCTTTCCCCTCCGCCTGCGCCCGCACCTCCGCCTTCCCCCACTGCTCCGCCTCCGCCTGTGCACGCCCCTGTGTGGTCCATGTGGGCGATGAAAGCCTGCACGTTCTGCCCCCCTGACCGCAGGTACTGTGCCAGCAGCTGCTGCCGCTGCTGCTCCCGCTCCACCTCGCCCTTCCCCTGCCCGTCCACCATCAGCCCGTCCCCTTGCTTCTCCCTCACTGCGTGTTCCTTCACACGATGCTGTTGCTGCAGCGGTGGTGGCGGCGGCGGCAGCAACTGCTGCTGCTGCTCTCGTTCCCACCCTTCATCAGCCACTTTCTGCGTCTGCTTCGTGTCTCTCCCAGCCCACCGCTGCCCTTCCTGCCGCTGGTCCGCTTCCCCAACCGCTTTTCTGCCGTCCCGCCGCTGCCATTGCTGCTGCCGCTGCTGCCACGCCTGCCGTCGGCAACCCACAGGCTCATGCTGCTGCGGCAGCGGCGGCGTTGGTGGCTGCGAATCCTGCAGCATCTGCTGCTGCTGCTGCTGCTGCTGTTGCAGTTGTTGCTGGCGCTGCTGGCTCTGGCTGCTCCCCCCTGCTTGCCACCTCTCCAGACCCATTCCTGAACTCTGCTGCTGCAACTGAACCTCCTGCTGCTGCTGCACCTGAACCTGCTGTTCCGCTTCCTCCTCCTGTTGCGGCTGCAGTTGCTGCGGGTTCCCTCGCTCATCTCCCACGGCCTGCCACCCATCCACCGACCCAGTCCAGATCTCCGTGCCCCCTCCGCCGCCCCACAGCTCCCCGGAACCCCCCGTCAGCGCCACTTCCGCCACCGACCCCTCCCGCTGCCCCATGCTTCCCGACACAGCCAGCGACCCATCTCCCCTAGCGCTGGCAAACCCACCGGCCACGCCCAACGGCTGGTGTGATTGGTGTGGTTGGTGTGGCTGGTGGGGCTGGTGGGGATGGTGGGGGTGGAGCGGTAGAGCAGCTAGGGGCCCACTGCCGCTGGAGAACGAGCACGTGCCGCGGGTATCAGCAGACGAGTGCGTGGGCAGCGTAGACGTGCCCTCCATCCCATACCCATACCCATACCCGTGACTCTGACCCTGCCTGTAACCGCGGCTGGCTGTTCCCGTGCCAGCAGCGCCCCCCTGCGCAGCAGCAGCAGCGGCGGCGGCGGCAGCAGCAGCAGCGGCGGCTGGCGGGGAGAGTGGCGCCGGCGGCCTCGTCGAAGGAGGAGTGGGGGTTGTGCATGCCGGAGGAGGAGCGCAGGGAGAGCAGCGGCTTGGCGCCCGCGCTGGGGTTAAAGGACCCGTCGGGGCAGGAGGATGCGCCTGCGCCTGAGTGCTCCGCCAGGTTACCGCTATTCTGCAGGGGCGAGCGGGGAAGCGACGAGAGTAGGAGAGCAGAAGAAGAGAGGGCGGGAAGGGAAGGGAAGGGGGAAGAGGGCGGGAAGGGAATTGAGGCTCTCTTATATCCTCTGATTACAAAGTCCGAGGATAAAAGGGCACTGCGCAATGAGCAGAGAACAGGGCGCAGTGCGCAATGAGCAGAGCGCAGAGCACAGAGCGCAGGGCGCAGTGCGCAGCAGAGCGCAGTGTACAGTGCGCACCTGGAGGCTCTCAGGCGTGTTGGAGACGAGCTGGATGCGGCGCCACACGTGCTGCCACATGTGCGTGACGTCACGCTTCGTCACCGGCTTCACCAGATACTCCTCCGCGCCCGCCGCTATGCACTGCAGAACCGTCGCCTGGTTGGAGTTGCCTGACATCACTGCCACGTCAGCAAAATCAGAATTACGCGTCAGATGCAGAGAAACGCGTGCCAGATACACAGTCACATGCAATGCACGGCGGCACATGCCTGCACGTGCAGAACATACGCCGGACAACGGAGCCACGTCTCACGAACATTGACCCGCACCCAAGTTACGTTAAGCTGTCAGCAGTGCGCGAAGGCGTGAGACAGCGTGTGGCACACTTAACGCTGCTCCGTAGGAGGCGTGCGCGGACGTACTGATGATGGGGATGGCGTTGTAGTTGGAATCAAACACTCTCTACAAAATTTCAAGATCATCCTGTAGCGTACTCAACATTGTGTCGGACGAGGCGTGCGCGCACGTACTGATGATGGGGATGGCGTTGTAGTTGGAGTCGGCGCGGAGGATTCGCAGCAGCTGCAGCCCATCCAGCCCCGGCATCATGAGGTCCTGCACCGTTCACAGCGTCGTATAGCATCGCATAGCGTCGCACAGCATCGCACAAAACAAGGGTACGGCAGTCAGCAACAGACAAAAACCTAGAAAAGAAACATCCAGAGCGGCGCGAGCGCTGGCAACCATCCGCGAAAGCTGAGAAGTCCTACAATTGAGAAATCAGACTAGTGGAATGGAACTACATCGGACGAATTTTCCAAGGAATCCACGAAGCTTACAACGAGGATGAGATTGAACCCGTCTGGCCTCTCCTGCAGCACCCGAAGGGCCTCCATCCCTCCATCCGCCACCGTCACTGCGCACCACGAGGCACAACGGGAATACCGTCAGATTGCTGGGAACCCGATCGCATACGGCACGATATCTCTCGTACGGTAACCTTGTCAGTCAACTTATGCGACAATCAACGGCAACGAACGGATGGTTGGAACGATGGGTGAAGCCCCAGAAACGCCTCTCCAGTCGCAAGAATCTTGTCTTCTGACAGAACTATCGCACCCGCTGGATTTACTGTACCCGCTATATATCATCGTAGCACTAAGAGTCTACGGTTCTCGAGTGTTAAAAAACGACTTGAAGTCGCAGTGACAGTGCAAAGTCCGTGACGCCACCCATTCCGTTCGTACGAAACCAAAGAGTTGCGGGGATCTCCGATGCCAGAATTGTGTCGCACAAGCATTCGCCGAGGTCAAATTCGCAAATTCAAATTCTAATTACTCTGCTGTCGCTTCCTGGCAACTCAAGACGATCGTTCAGCGCCAGCTTCGACTCTAATTGGCCAGCCTACTAGCCTCCGCTTTACTCTAGACGCTCACTCTTAGTTCTTCCTACTGCTTCTTGACCCTCCTGTCGCGTTCTTAACTCTCCTATCGTGCAGTTGAACCCTTTAGCCATCGTTGGCCCTAATTGCAAGGCGTAGCTCTCATCCGCAATGACAAGACTATCTAAGCTCTCCAGTTCCGATCCAGAGCTGGATACTTTACAATGAAACACTTAGTCACCTTGATAACCACATCTTCGAAACTGATTCCCGACGACGAGTCGCGAGAGCCTTTCGTCGTCCACCACTAAAACGTGCACGTCCGACGGCGATATTAGCGGCATTCCCCCGGCTGCTGCAGCCCCACCCGATCCCCCTCCGCCTGCCGTGAGAACCCCATCTTGCACTGGAGTGGAAGGATCCATGGCGGTAACACTGACTGAATCTAGGAGAAGATCTAAGGTCTGCTGACAAGAAGTCTTTAAGAGAGCTCGCGGCCAGCATAGTGAGTCGAAACGGCTCTGGCAACGCACACCACAGATTGAAATGATTTCTCAGCAAAAATGCTCCCCCTGACAACCACTCTCCACATCAGGAGCACCAACTTCGTTCACTCCGCACGTGAATGCAACAACCACTCTTCGACCGATAACCCTAATTTAGTTAGCCTACCCCGTGATACACAACTTTATCGCGAAAAGAAACTGCGAGTGAAGACGGGAAGCCTTGCGCGATTGCCACCTAATCGACTTTAGCCTAGGGTTCCATCCAACCAAGATGGTTCCTCCAGTAGACCTGGGGTTTGCCTGCTTCTAGCATATTCCTTGAAGCAGCAGTCTCACCGAGTCTAGCACAAGCTTGGAGCAGGAGGAGGAGCAGGTTTGGCTGCTGCGGCTGGTTCGGCATGTACTGTAAATGGCATGGCATGGCATGGCCGCGTGTACGTGAGTGGCGCGGGTGGTGGTACAGTAGGCAAGGGATTCGAGGGGTCCGTGAACCAGGCTCGGTCCCGTGGTCAGGGAGGGAGCTCACGAAACGAAAGTAGGCATGGGATGGGAGCGAACTTAGGAATTGCCGCACGGATGACGCTGGTTGGCGGAAGCATGTGAGGTTTGCTTTATTTCGCTTTTAGGACCCCGAAAAGTGCATCCAACTCACAAAAAATATCTACAGCCCACCAGCGATGGACAAAAGATCCTGACCTGGTGCGGTTGGTGTGAGGGCAGAATCGTCACGTGATGTCCAGTCAAATTGCTCTTGAATCACGTGACAGAATTCTTAGCCCTTCGCTTATTGGTTTCGAGAGGTTCCTACCAGGGCTATTGCTAGGATTTTTGCTAGCTCGGACGATCCGGGCCCCTGTGAAAAAGACCCTGTAAAATCCGAGCCAGCGGAAAAAAAACCTTGACGAATCCGGGTTCGAGCCAGAAAAGGCCTGAAAACATGCATTGCCAGAATTTCGCGGGAAACTCACAGTGGGTTGCACGAGGGCTGGGGAGATTGGAGATGGAGTGGCTCTGGAGGGGTGAGCGAGATACTTATTTTAGACTTCGAAAAAAATACGATGAGGAAGAGTACATAGGGAGAACAGGGCAATCAGACACTCTCTCCTTATTGGCCTTCTAAGCCATGTCGACGTAGAACAGGGCAATCAGACACTTGGAGGCCAACAAGGAGAGAGTGGTTAGGAAATTCACTAAAAGTGGCCCACGTGTGTTTAGAGGGAGACGGAGAGGAATGCAAGGCAGGTCGGGGAGAACATGTCTGCTAAAATTATACGGGTCCCCTTGAGAACTCCCCGGAGAGATCCGAGCTGACTCAATAATCACCCTTCAGTTTTACGGGCTGGTCCGAAAAACACCTTGTGAAAATCAGGGCTCCTTGAAAAAACACCCTATAATTTCAGTCAAAACAGGGTAATTGCCCTGATAACTTAGGCCCTGGTTCCTACCTGAGGTGTGCTGGCCAACAGATGCAGATGGAAATTTGATTGGATCTGTTCGCTCGCTGGGGCCTTGCTATGATGGTCTGCCCGAAGCACTCAGGGAAACCCCGAAAGGTGATGAAATGCTCCAAACGGGGTTCCACCTATAGATTCGTACAATAAATGAGATACAATGCAGAATTGTTAGTACCACGCACTAAGTATACATGCTTGCAATCTGTAAGCAGAGTGCAATATCCCTGCCATCACCCCAACCACCATCCCCCTTTACAACCGGCGTTGAGTACACTGGTAAAATGACCACATGCGCATCTTTATCGATTGAATCCTTCTTGTCTTTCTCTGTTAGACTAAACACTTCATCGGATCCCCCTACACCACGAGCTTGTGGAATTCCACTCCCATCCCTGTTTGTATCCCCATCCCTACTTCCCGTTCCACTCCATTCCTCTGCCGCATAACCATCCCCATGCAATCCGTACTCGCCAAAGTGCCATGCACTGGCACGGTGCCACCTCAGCATGCGAGCAGATGGCATGTGGAGGGAGATGAGCTCCCACATGGACCTGTCCCAGTTGTAATCATCCATATAGCAAAACTCCTGACAGCCATGAATGACCGGGGCAGGAAGGTAATGGAGCAGAGTCACAGACTGTAATTACATAGACAAAGGAAAGATGCAAGGTGGTGTTATTGGCTGGTGATAAACCCAGGGTTGGACCCAACCCGAGGAACAACATACTTCGTACCCCATACGCCAATCACCGTACCCCTGCCAGGGCATGCATCATCCCCCACACACTCCTCTTTCAAGCTGCATCCTACATTAATTCTTTACACTTTTAAACAACAAACCCGCACCCTGAACACACCACCATAACCACCATACCTCTGCGAGGGAGTGCATCATCTCCCACACACTGCGGTTGAAGCTGTACCCCACGTTGCCCAGCCTCTCCGCCGTGAAGTGCCCTCTCCGCCTCAAAATTCCCCTTTTCTCCACCATACTCCCCTCGGGTGTTCTTCTGACTAAACGCCTCAATCCCCTCGCTCCAGTCTCGCCCCTCTGACGACCCTCCACCTCCCGCTCTGCTTGCACTGCAGCATTCACTCCCCTCCTCTCCACCGCCCCCTCCTCCTCATCCTCCACCACCCCCACATCAGCAGGGGCGAGGCTCACAGCGATGCACTCGTCGCAGCGCCCGCGGCGCTTGGCGCTTAGCAAAGCGCGCAGGTGGCTAAGTGCGTTGGGGAAGAGCCAGTGGTCCTCCTCTATGAAGAGCATGTGGCCGTTGAATGCCCTGGTCTCTGGCAGCCCGTCCCACACCGTGTTCTGCACCCACCACCAGTGGTGCTGCACGGGAGGGGGTTTCCGTGGGAGGCAAAGGCATGAGGGGAAAAGTGTATGACGAGGGGAGGAGAGGGGGAAGGCATAAGGGGTTGGAGGGAAGAGAGAGATGTTGGGAAAGAGTCAGTAGTCTCTCTGTATAAAGAGCATGTGGCCGTTGAATGCGTTGGTCTCTGGCAGCCCGTCCCACACTATACTCTGCACCCACCACCAGTGGTGCTGGGAGGCTGTCAACGGGCGGAGAGAGGTGGGGCAGAAGCAAAACGTGAGGACGAGAGAAGGGGGGATACAGGGAAGGGGAGGTGGATGGGAGGCTTGTAAGGGGATAGCTAGGTGTGCAGAGGTGGAGCTGTGGGAGGGGTGCAGAGGTGGAGCTGTGGGAGGGGTGCAGAGGTGGAGAAACTGAAAAGTGGGAGGGAGTGTGAGAAATTGACACAGGCTGCACACACACACGCACCTTAAGGGAGACGATTTTTGGTTCGCGGTACGATCCAAATTCATCTGCTTGACCCCAACACGGCATCTCATCTCCCACCTCCTCCCCTTCCTCCTCCTCCCCCACCTCCTCTTTTCTCACACCGTTGCTAGCAGCATGCCTCATCCCACCGTCCCTCACCATCCGCTCGTTACCCACGCCTTTAGAATGCCTCTTCCTCAGCTTTCCCCCCGGACGAGTCCACTGCTCCCACCGCTCCCACTGCTCCCACCGCTCCGCTCCTCCTGCATTCGTTTCCCACGGCCGCCTTGACTTGCCGCGGCAGTCGGCGGCAGAAGCTGCTGGGAAGGTTCCGTTGAAGAGGTGCGGTGAGAAGGGGAAGTAAAGCTGCTTGACCCGACAGAAGGAGATTGAGCGGACCAGGGCGTGCATGGAGGGGTAGAAGCCGTCGTGACTGGGGAGGATGAGGGGGAAATCGGGAAGGGGGGGGGAAAGGGGGGGGGGGGGGGGGGAGGGGCGGGGTGGTTGTGCAGGTTGGTGCAGAAAGGAACAACAGGCCTCGAGACGGGATGGGCGGGGGAAGAAGGGAAGCAAAAAGGGTCTCGTTGCATTAACAGGTCTACTTTCCTCCCAGTACTGAATGATTATCGTACTGCATGATATCTTATGTGCCAGTGAGCAGCAACCACGATAAATCTCTAGAAACAAAAAGACGGATATGCTATCTATCGACTCGCCCCGCCTACCAACCCTTCACAATAACATGCTCTTATCGCACCTGACTATAAGCAGCACGTTCTGTATGCCGTCCACTTTGCTCAGAGCATCCAGAGTGCGGTTGAGATATGCCGGCCGGTTGTGCACGAGCAACACAATGATGATGTCATCATCTTCCACTGCTGCCAAGTCAGCATTTCCCTCTGCCGCCACGTCATCACTTCCCATGGCTGACACGTCACCACCTCCCAATACCGCCTTGCTTGCTTTTTGTTGCTTGCTGCGAGCACTCCTTGTTCTGCTTGACTTCGATCTTGCAGCCATATGTAAAGGCGTGCGTGGAGGCATTTCATTGGCTGCTGCCAGCTCAGCAGCCCGCCGGTTGGACGGCGGCCACGTCGCGTTGCTCAGGCGCAGATGCGACCTGCGCCAAGTCGAGACAAACCACGCCGCCTCCCGCTGCTTGCGTGCCTGTATCAGCTGCCGCGCCCGTGCTTCTGCTAAGAGCAGCGCCTTGCCCTCCATGGCACCAGTCATTGCACGCACCTAGGAGGTTCAGAGCGCAGGGGTTGGGGTAGAGGGTTGAAAAGAAGAGGCATTGTGATGTGATGATATATTGCTTGCGTGAAAGGAGTTGAATGGAAGGGGTATTATGAAAAAAACATTGCCTGCGCTGCGCGCGTGCATCAGTCAGCGCAACTGTGCTTCTGGCAAAGAACAGCGCAGCGCCCTGCCCTTGATGGCATGGCACCAGTCACTGCGCGCACATAGGGATTCAGAGTACAGGGTTTAGAGGCGGTCGATTGAACAGAGGAGGTATTGTGAAAAATCACTGCTTGTGCGCATCAAAGGTCCCCCCCGTGCTTGTGCAAAGAGAAGTGCATCGTGAATCTGTTTTTTGAGACTTCTCAAAAAACTCATCCTTCACGTGGTACATCATACGTGGCTTACCTCCGATTGCTTGCACCCTTCTTTCAAAACAAAACTGAATCCTTTCTTGGAGCGTCTGTTGCATGATAGCTTACCTGCGATCGCAGCATTCGTAACTCCCTCTCGTAGTCGTCAATCGCCAACACTGTTTCACCCTTCCTTAAATCTCAGAGCTTCAGCATTTCTTATATCGTCTGGCACACGGCTTACCTCTGAGTGCAGCATCCGTAACTCCCTCTCGTAGTCGTCAATCGCCAACCCGACGCCATCCGTTTGAAAAGGTACTGAGGTTACCGTAACTGCGGATGACGCATTGGGGAGCTTCTGAAAGCGCGGGGCACACGGCTTACCTCTGAGTGCAGCATCCGTAACTCCCTCTCGTAGTCGTCAATCGCCAACCCGACGCCGTGCTTTTTCCCGCGACCATATCCTCTTTTTCCTTCCGTTTCTTTCTCAGCTGCAGCAACGCCAGCAACGCTGCTTTCTCGGTAATAAGCCTGCTTGTAACGGGGATACGCTTGGGAACACCGAGGTGTGCCTCTAGCGGGGATAAGCCTGCTACTTGTCGTGGAGGTACAACTACTACCAGGAACAGAAATAGTGACTCGCGACGAAGCTTCGTCGTCTTTCACTCTCCCACGGATTGCTCTTCGCCGCCACTGCGCGTTAATGACGTCAGCGACAAAATCCAGCTCGCTTGAAACGAGGCTTAGCAGTCTCTTGTGTCCATCCGTCCGACCCTGCTCATCTGAGGTTCGAACCAGCGGCGTAACTCGAGGCTCGGCCCGAACCTCTGGCTCGGGTTCAAGGTTTCGACTCAGTCCGGTAACAGATGAGGGTTTGGTGCTTGATGAGATGGAGATGAACGGCTGCGATGACGCCAGGGCGTCTGCCATTTCCTCGGGATTGTCGGCCCAGAAGAAGCATCCCATCCATTCCTCGAACGGCCAATCAGCGGCTGACAACTCGGGATTATCGTTCTCGCTAACGGCTTCGATAGAAGCGTCGAATCCGGACTCGATATTGTCAAGTGACAGCCACGCTGTGCGTAAAGCGAACGCGAACGCGCAAAGGAAGAGTATCAAGGCTGTACGGCAGAAGCGAATGCGACTGAAACGAGAGTGACTGAAACGATCGGCCATGCATCGTCGAGTCGCCATGCGGCACTATTACGTGATGTATTTGGGTCGACTCTGATCCAAAAATCTCGAACATTCTGAATTCTGGCATGATGCGGCTGGGCAAAGCCGATATCATGCCTGCATCCCAAAAATCACGAGGCCGATATCGGCTGGAAAGCGTGGGATACCCCCAGGTCACACTCGGGGGGTAACCCTGATGTTCCCACCAACTTTCCCGCAGGTTACCCCAGAGGGCTGGCGATCGCTGCGAAGTAGTAATTCTCGCGATTGGGATTTCGGGTGATGAAAGCGGACCAATCAGGGGAGAGCTCCAGTTCGTTGTAACCCAGGAGATACCCCAACAGCTTCGGATCGATCCTGCTCACCTGGTTAGTGCACACTGTTTCGGCAACCACAGCTCAACCCAGGCACTGTACACGTTGAAGATCATGATAACATCAGCTATGTTCAACAATGATCTCTAAATATCGAAATTCTCTTTATTGAGGATCTACTGATGTGTTTCGCTAGGTGGCAGCAAGGATTTCGTGCACCAATCACATTTGTCCTAGTCACTTCAGCAAAAGAGTCCCTCCTAGATGTATTTCACAATCCCATCTCGACCACTTCCCTCATTATTTCTCGCTGCCAAGCTGTTTGAGTTCTAGGATTTCTCTTAACTCGCCGCCATGTCCGCATTTTACGCTGCCTAGATTTCCTAGACCTTTCTGGAGATTATACTTGAACGATAAGTAGCTTAGCTTCGGGTTTACACTTTCCGTTGTCAAGCAACGTCAATACCCTGGCGATTTTTGGCGTGCATGTTAATGTGCTTTTTTATCGTCAGTTGCTTAATTTTTTCCTCGCGCCATGTGTGTTTCTTTGCAGGCGTCGTCAACCGTCGTGCCAGGCGCTCATGTGTGGAGGTCTAGAATGTGTCTTTGTCGGCCGCGATGTCGTGAGAATGCTTCCTGTGTTCCATCTTCCGTGCGGTCATCGAATTTCGTTGCCTTCGTATCTGGTCAGATTTCTCTACTGGTGAGCATGCGGTGCATAATAGACACCTGTGGCGTGACAATAATGTTTCCTTGTGTACCGATGTTTTTCCCCTTTGTTCTCACTACTCTCACTCTTACCACCCTTCCCCTGTCTGAATGTCGCCACTTGGTGCAGAATACGGAAAGCGGTCCTGTCACGTATTCGTGTGGTAAGAATCCTGCAATATCGTGTGTTCCTGTTCTCTTTGTGTCGTGTGTTGCAGGAGCAAACTATCGTCTACATAGGGTAGTGAGGTTGTGCTGGAGCTCTCCTGAGTGATTAACACAGTTTTTATAACGTGCTGTGTCTGCAGAGTAGTGCACGTTGTCTGCATGTCAGAAAGTGTTTCTGTAATGTGTTATTTTAGTAAAATGTACAGATTGATTAATGGAATCGACCAGCTTCTGTATACATATTATACTGGCACTAAGCCGTCTGTCTGTGACAAAAATTACTGTAAATGATTGATATCAATACTAATTGTGGTTATAGCCGAATGAAAATTATAATAGCATGTTTAGCTGACAAAAAAGAATATACAGTATTGTAGATATGTTGTTGTTGTAATCGAGTAAGTTTACAGCGCGGAAGCGGCTCGCGTGAAGCGGGAAGCGGGAACGCACGTGATTGGGCCCAAACTTCGCGGGAGGTAGAGTTGGGGTAACAGGTGGGTCACATCTCGGGGTCACCCCAGTGTGACAACGAACTGAATCCTCGACCGGGGTGACATTAGGGTATCACTGCTGGCGACCTTGGGGTATCACTAATCGGGGTAACACTGATGTGACCTTGGGGTAGAAATTTGCGGAGGAATTTTTTGGGATGTGACGAGGCAGCGCGGTCATTGCGAGGTAGGTCCCTTCTTGGTGAGGCGATGGCCCATCGGGTGGGTCGTATGGAGGAGAGCTGTGCTGGCCTGTGGCTGCGATCGAACAGGGCCATTGAACCGGCTTTAACCGCTGGTGAAGTGCAACCTACCCGGTCACTGCATCCTGACATCGTGACAAAGTTCGCAACAACCTTCCCTGGTTGCGACCTGGAAAGATTGTAAGATGCCCTGGCTGTGACCTGTACAATAGTAGCTAGCTAGCAACAGAGCAAGCAGGCCCCCCAACCACTCCACCCATTCCGCCTACCACGCCCACCCGACCCCACCCCACTCCACACCACCCCATCCCCCAACCACCAACCCACCAACCATTGACGGGAAACTTATTTCATCAATCTACTGGCTTCCCCGCTTGCCCTTCGGAAGCGGTGTTCTACAAATAGACCTCGGGGATTGTACTGTACGGGTACTTATTCCGTTGTAATAGCTTATACATAAGGTTTTTTTTCAATCTGAGAAAACTCAAGGGACCAGTAATCGGGCGCTTACTGTAGCACAAAATTGGTTGGCAGCTGCAGACACATTAACAGTATCGGTACATGCTTGCAATATGTAAGCAAAGTGCAATATCCCTACCATCACCCCAACCACCATACCCCTTAACAACTGGCACTGAGAGGACTGGAGGAAAGACCACATGCGCATCTTTAACAATTGAATCCTTCTTGTCTTGCTCTGTTAGCTTAAACACTTCATCACCCCCCGCACCACACGGGGTTTGTGAAAAAGAACTATCGCTACCATTGGTATCTAAATCCCCATCTGCGTTCTCCATTTCACCTGATTGCCCAGTCTCATCACCATGCAGTCCACACTCGCCAAAATGCCGCGCACTGGCACGGTGCCACCTCAGCATGCGAGCGGATGGCATGTGGTGGGAGATCAGGTGCCACATGGAACAATCCCAGTTGTATTCGTCCACGTGGCAAAACTCCTGACAGCCATGGGATTGTCGGGGAGGGGAGGGAGCAGAGTAAGCCGGCGGCACTTGCATAAATGAAGGTGCACAAAGATAGGTGCGGATGAAACAGACCAAGGAACTCTGTAAGTTGGACGCACGAGTTGAAAAGTCTCAGAATTTGCGTCTCAAGTTTCAACTGACCAGAGAGAGGAAGTACAGTAAGCTAAATGAAAGATTTGAGACCTACAGGTACGGTGAGTTGGAAGGGTACAGGAGAGACGTGGACGGTGCACAGCACAGGTGCAGACATGTGCAGATGATTGCAGAGGAGTGTGAATGAGTGCAATGGAGTAAATAGACCCCCCATACACCATACACCATACACCATACATCCTAATCCATACCCCATACGCCATACTCCATACTCCATACCCCATACAACATAGCGCATGCCCCCACCACCGTACCTCTGCCAGGGAGCGCATCATCTCCCACACTCCGGTTGAAGCTGCATCAAGCAGCGAGTTTTTCGTAGTCTTTTAAACAACAGGCCCACACACCCACCACCCCCACCACCGTACCTCTGCCAGGGAGTGCATCATCTCCCATACACTGCGGTTGAAGCTGTACCCCACGTTACCCAGCCTCTCCGCCGTGAAGTGCCCTCTCCGCCTCGAATCCTTATCTCCCACCTCCTCCTCCTTATCCTCCACCATTCCCACATCAACAGGCGCCAGCCCTGCAGTGATGCACTCGTCGCAGCGCCCGCGGCGCTTGGCGCTTAGCAAAGCGCGCAGGTGGCTGAGTGCGTTGGGGAAGAGCCAGTGGTCCTCCTCTATGAAGAGCATGTGGCCGTTGAATGCCCTGGTCTCTGGCAGCCCGTCCCACACAGTGTTCTGCACCCACCACCAGTGGTGCTGCACGGGAGGCGGTGTGTGGGGTACAGAGATGTAAGGGAGATTGAAGGTGGGGGGAAGAGGGAAGAGGACTTGGGAGGAGCTGAGGAGAACGGGGGAAAGGGAAATGGGATGGAAAGCACATTGGGGAAAAGGCAGCAATACTGGTGTGTGAACAGCATGGTAGGTATGCACGCGGGAAAGGATACGAGATGGAGAGGAGAAGTGGTGGGGTAGTAAGTGATGAAGGCAACACACCACACCACACCACACCACACCACACCACACGCACCTTTAGTGAGACGATTTTTGGTTCGCGGAATGACCCGAATTCATCCGCCTGGCCCCAACACGGCACCCCATGCCCCACCTTCCCCTCCTCCTCCTTCTCCTCCTTCCCCACCTTCTCCTCCTCGCTCACACCATGCCCGAAGCCACCAAACCATCCTCCTGCCCTGCGCTCTTCCCGCATGCCCCGTCTTAGCTTATTACGCTCCCACTGCTCCCACTGCTCCCACTGCTCCCACTGCTCAGCTCCTGCTGCCTTGGTTTCCCACGGCCGCCTTGACTTGCCACGACAGTCGGCGGCAGAAGCTGCTGGGAAGGTTCCGTTGAAGAGGTGCGGTGAGAAGGGGAAGTAAAGCTGCTTGACCCGACAGAAGGAGATTGAGCGGACCAGGGCGTGCATGGAGGGGTAGAAGCCGTCGTGACTGGGAGGGGGGAGGGGGAGAAAGAGAAAGGACAAGGGAAGCGGAAAAGGGGAAGTAAAGCTGCTTGACCCGCCAGAAGGAGATTGACTGAACCAAGGCGTGCATGGGCGGGTAGAAGCCGTCGTGACTGGGAGGGGGAAAGGAAGGGTTGGGAGGGAGTACAAGGTCAAGGAAGGATGATGGAAGAGGGGGGGAAGTAAAGCTGCTTGATCTGGCAGAAGGCGATTGGCTGGCAGAAGGCGATTGGCTGACGAATGTATGCATGGATGGAGGGGTAGTAGCCGTCATGGCTGGGATGGGGGGAGAATGGGCAGTGGAGCTGGTTGAAAAAGTGCATTTGAAGCTGGCTGGACCAACAGAAGGAGATTTGAGACGTCTCAAGACTTGATGCGGGGGGACAAGGGGAGAGATTGGGCAGTGGAGCTGGTTGAACGAGTGTATTTGGGACTGGCTGGCTGGACCAACAGAAGGAGATAGGCTGGATTGGGGCGTGCATGGTGGGTAAGACAGGTCATGCAATGAGAGGAAGTAGAGGAGGGGACGGGAGAGAAGGGGATTGGGAGGGGAGTGGGGCCGGGGTTGGGCAGGGTTGGGGAGAAGAAGACGAGAAGAACCAAGGCCCTCATCAAGCTGGTGTCTCTGATAAGTCGATTTTTGAGTAACCCAGCTCGATGTACTCAAAAGCCCACATGGAGCTGGTGTCATTGTAACCAAGGAGCACATGATTGGTTGCATCCGTCGGAAAAAAGGGCTGTGAATTGAATAGAACAAGAAAGAGCACATGCTCTCGATCGACCTCTTGACCCCATATGGATTGTTGCTTACACATAGATTTGGTGCTATCGCATCGCACATTCTGTAATTGCACGTCCTGTCCTGCTTCCGCGCACATGCTCTTATCGCACCTGACTATAAGCAGCACGTTCTGTATGCCGTCCACTTTGCTCAGAGCATCCAGAGTGCGGTTGAGATATGCCGGCCGGTTGTGCACGAACAACACAATGATGACGTCATCATCTCCCATGGCTGCCACGTCACCATTTCCCTCTGCTGCCACGTCATCGCTTCCCACTGATGACGCGTCATCACCACCTCCCAGTATCGCCATGCTTGCGTTCTGTTGCTTGTTGCTAGGGACACCCTCTGTTCGCATTCCCTTCCATTCTGTAGCAATATGAAAAGGCGTGTGTGGAGGAATCCTATAGGCTGTTGCCAGCTCAGCAGCCCGCCGATTGGATGGGGGCCATCTCGTGTTGCTCAGACGCAGATGCGACCTGCGCCATGTCGAGACAAACCACACCGCCTCCCGCTGCTTGCGTGCCTGCAGCAGTCGGCGCAACCTTATTTCTGCTAGGAGCACTGTGCTGGCGTCAACGGTCACTGCACACACCTACAATTTGTGTTGTATTCGGGGGGAGGGGGGGATGGAATCTGCTTTTGAATCGACTCAAAAGCAACCATACTTCTGCAAAGAGCACTGCGCTGGCGTTAATCGTCACTGCACACAGACCTACAGATTGGGTTGGGTTCAGCGGGGGTTTGAAGGTTGACAATTCAGGGTTAGGTGCAGGGGGGAAGTGTGGGCAAAGGAGAGTTTATAGGTAAGGCGACACTATGGCGGCATAGAGCCTGTGCTGAGTTCAACATTCTCAGCTCATTCTCGTAGTCATCAATCGCCAACACTGTCTCATCATTGTTCTTAAACAATACTGAAGCATTTCTTAAAGCGTCTGAGACAAGGCTCACCTGTGAGTGCAGCAGTCTCAGCTCCTCCTCGTAGTCGTCATCAATCCCCAACCCGGCGCCATCCTTTTCCTCCGTTCCATTTCCTCCTCCTCTCCTTTCTTCCTCAACAACAGTGCCAGCCACAACGCTGCTCTCCCTGTAATAAGACTGCTTGTAACGGGGATACGCCTGGGGACACAGAGATGGCGTAGAAGCATCGCTACTTGCCTTCCTGGTACCACCAGGACTGCTACCGGGAACAGAATTTTGAGGCGCCTCAAAAATCGTACCACCAGGAGGACTGCTACCGGGAACAGAATCAGGTATCGCTTGCGGCGACGACGCTTCGTCGTGTTTCACTCTCCCACGCATTGATGCTCTCCGCCGCCGTTGCGCGTCCGTGACGCCAGCAACAAATGCCAGCTCGTTCGAAACGAGGCCTAGCACTCTCTCGTGATCAACCGTTCGACCCTGCTGTTTTGAGGTGCAAATTAGGCCGGGATCAGACGAGGGTTTGGTGCTTGATGACATGGAGATGAACGGCTGGGATGGCGCCAGAGCGGTTTCCATTTCCTCGGGATTGTCGCCCCGAAAAAAACATCCCATCCATTCCTCGAACGGCCAATCCGCGGCTGACAGCTCGAAAACATCGTTCTCGCTAGAAACGGCTTCGATAGAAGCGTCAGATTCAGGCTCGATATGATTGTCGAGGAACACCCACGCTGTGTGTAAAACGAACGGGAGCGCGCAAACGAAGACTATCAAGGTTATATGGTAGAAGCGAGTGTGAGTTAAGCGAGTGCCTGTGCGCCGTCGAGTCGCCATCTGGCGCTGCGGCGTGAAAATTTAAAAAAAAATCGTGCCGTTCGAATTCTTAGCACAACGAAAAGGCCTGACGACGCAGCATGGTCGTCTCGTTAGACTGGCCGCGAGGCAATGGCCGTGTCTAATAGCGGATTCCCCTGTAAAAAGCGCTCGCTCGACTACCTCCGTCTCGTCTAGCGAGTATCTAGTCCAGACCGAATAACGGGCGCAACCCCGCGCGCGCGCACCGAGTCACGACGACCACCATCGCTCTGGCCGATGTCAAAGCTCCACCCGCTCGTGAAACCCAAGGCGGCTTGATGTGTACGAGTGTAGCTGACCAGCAAACGCAAGGGCGCTGAAGGCGTGTCTGGGGGGAGTACGTCCGAATCAAGCCTTGCGATTCACAAACATTTCTCCGTTTAACCTGAAAATTCAGGATTATCATTGTCTCAGCTCAGATATCGTGAGGACTTGTTTCCCCTAACCCGGATTTCTAACGGGTCAAAAATGCCTCTCTGCAACCAGTTGCTACGAAATTCGCTTGTAAGCGCGTCGGAGTTGGATCCTGGGAGTGGGAAATTTTGGGAGGAGTGAATACCAGAAACAATTTGAATGGTGCGGAAGATCTTCCGATGTTCCACAGACACCGTCAATGAATGCCTCGTTATAGCCCAGTTTCCGGCAGTAGAACCTTAGTAAAACGCAGTCATTTTGAAGCTTACCCCTCATGACTTGTGCCCGTTAATTACACCTACTTTCAAAGCATAGTCCACCATCATTATGGGCCGGGCTAGGTTCGTCGCAAGCACCACCGGACCTGATCGACGAATTTGTGAAATCCGCTCGTAGAATGCTCTCCACAAGTGCTTCTATGAAAGTGTGGGCAATCTCTGGGAAAGGTAAATTGGATAATAGAAACAATTTTGAAGGGTTTGGAAGAATTCTCGGATGTTCGACAAACACCATCACGAGACAACCTCGTTAAACTCAGTTTTATGCAGTAAAACCTTCGTAAAACGCAGTCGTTTTGAAGATTAGCCGTCACTTAATTGTACCCGTTAAATTACACCTACTTTCAAAGCATAGTCTAGCTAGATCGCGGCAAGCACCACCGTGCCTGATCGACGAACCTGTGAAATTCGTTCGTAAAATGCTCCTCCACAAGTGCTTCTCTAAAGTGTGGGCAATCCTAGGGGAGGTAAATTGGATAGTAGAAACAATTTCAAAGGATGTCGAAGGATTCTCGGATGTTGGACAAACACCGTCACGATATACCTCGTTATAGCTCAGGACGCGTCACATGTCCAACACCGATCCCGTGAAATATCGGTGTGCAGCATGTACAGTGTTTTCGTTAATTCGTGAAAGAGTAGTATCCCGTTGTCGCTAATCATGTAGCGAAAATCGTGCACCCACATAAGACCCCAGACTGGATGGCGCACAAAGGCACATCGATCGTGCTATTGACAGCGCGGGAATCGATGTCGCGCCACCAGTTCCAGCCACGATCGAGCGCCGTCGCATATTGTCGGCCACGCTCGACGTGGTAACCGGGCGACATCACAAACAGTCGGTGGACTACACCTGCGCTTTGAAAACGCGACGCGAAATTCCACCTGAGAACGAACCCATCAGAAACCAAAATGCGCCTCGACACACACATTGGCTACTTTGGTACAAATTGGCACGAGGAATCTGCATTGTCACTATCAATTACGCAATCGGCTTGCAATTTCTCTCTCGACACACATTTCTCACCATGTCAACTTCTAACCATGGCTCCCCAGCTGCCGACACCACCAACGACGAGCCTGACACACTGGCATCAACCACCGCCGTTCACTTGTTCCACTACCATCCGCGCTCTAGACTGCTGTTTGTTCCAAACGCGGTCGACATCGTTGACGTTCTCTTCAGCGGCTGCCCTGTAGGGTGTGTAGGTGTATGCCCGTAGGCCATAGGCTGCATCTCCCACAAGTACTCGATCGTGTAGTTCGCCTTGCTCTATGCGCACCCGGGCCGGCGAGTTTTGCCACACTCTTGCATCATTGACCGACCCGGGCCATCCAACGTAGAAGTCGTATATCATGCCTATGGAGTCGCAGATTACTTGCAAAATGACTGTGATTGTGCCGTGTCTATTACGAAAGTCGTCTGCATGGTCACCAATTCCACGACAACGGATGTAAGTTCCGTCAATTGCACCGACTACGCCCGGTATGCCACTCTCGTAGCGGAACTCGGCTTCCATCTGCGCAAGTTCATCCTCGGTGGGCCAGACGACCCATTCAGGGGTCAAGTCTACTTGAACGAAGGTGTGGAAGTCGTTCACAGCACGGAGGGCATGTTGCCTACTGATCCCGAATGCTAACGCGAGCGCACGGTAGTTCCAGCCATGAGCCATTCGAGTTAATGCCAAGGCCAGAACGAAAGCGTGGGAGAGGGTACTGTTGTTTGCCGTCGGCCTGTAGAGTGCATAGCGCTCGCACAAGTAGTTGAAGACTGGTCTTTCAATTCGGAAGTGCTCATAAAACTCGACGGCAGGAAGTAGTGGAATTCGTGTCATCCAACGCTGCCGCGCCATGGCCCTGTCGTCACGAAGGAAACGCCGCTGAATATTCAGAGACCTAGTCTCTAAGGCGTGAGCGAGGAGTTGAGCTAACGCCATAACTGCCGGCGCTACTACTACGAAGGAGAATCCATCGAAGAGAGCAGCTACGAGGAGGAGGTGGTGTTCGGGATCCATTGCGGTGAATGAACGGTTATAATGCCCCTCTCTGGTGTCTCTTCATGCAAAAGTGGGCATAGAGGTGCGCCAGACGGAGCGTGAAGTCTGCTGGGATGTGAAAAATAGTTTTGCTGACCCCCCAGAGCTGTTTGACAATCTTGGAAACCCACCGTATAGACACTTGTAACTTTACATGCGTTGGCAATAACCCCACCAAGAATTTTGGGACTGATTCGGCCCCTACGTGGGTACCCGCGCTTTGCTGGGTGGCTATTTGGTACTTAAGTGAGGCCCAGTTTGTCGCGGATTGCTGGACTGCATGGGAATTTGAGTTTCTGGGGTGGTGAACGAACATTCAATTGTTTCCCAGACATCCATCTGATGCGCGGCGCATACATTGCTCAACAGTGGCACATCATCGTCTGTGCGCGTCGTCACAAGCCTAGCGAGTGTTGTGCGACATGCTAGCGAAGTACGGCTGATGCGCTGACAGCTGTGGTGTACCGTTTGCATGGAGCACCCAACTTGCAAATCCGTTCGTGTCACATTTGGCTCGGGAAGGCAGCCAACACTGCTCCGGCAGATTGATCCCTTTTTTCCGTACGTGATGCACACAAATTCGGTATATGGTGCCGATCATCCGCCGGTGTTGGACATGTGACGCGTCATCAGTTTTCGGCAGTAGAACCTTCGTAAAACGCAGTGGTTTTGAAGATTGCCCGTCACGTACTTGTACCCGTTAAATTACACCTACTTACAAAGCATAGCCTACCGTCATTAGGTGCCTAGCTAGATTCGCCGCAAGCACCACCGTGCCTATCGACGAACTTGTGAAATTCGTTCGTAAAATGCTTGTCCACAAGTGGTCCTCTGAAGTGTGGGCAATCCCAGGGGAGGTAATTGGATAATAGAAACAATTTTGAAGGGTGTAGAAGAATTCTCGAATGCCCGGAAAACACCGTCGTGAAAATACCTCGTTATAGCTCAGTTTTCGACAGTAGAACCTTCGTATAGGGGAGTCGTTTCGAATATTGCCCGTCACGTACTTCTACCCGTTAAATTACACCTCCTTCAAAGGCATAGCCTGTAACTGAAGGGCGTGGAAGAATCTTCGGATGAGGTTTGCGGCCCCCCAGGGTTTCCTGCGTGACCTCCTCCTCCCATTCCCCGGGTTCAACACTTGCATATCATCCACCACGCCACGCCCGCTACCTACGGGTGTTTATTGTGGACCGTGTATTTGCGGCGACCGCCAGTCGCACTTGCACTGGTGGAACGACGTCATCTACATCGGGATCGTATCGGGTTTCAGAGCGCTAATAGCGGCGTCCTGTTCTTAAAGTTTCGTATAGAATAGTTTCATAGTACAGAATAGTTTCATCCCGTTTCGTATTTCCGCAGATGGCGGACTCCGCCGCTTCTGCGGCGGCCCCGCAACCCGAAAGCAGCAGCGCTGCCGGAAGCGGCGGCGGCGGCGGGTGCGCGCGACCGGAGAAGCCGAACACGACGGTGGGGAAGATTCGCGAGCACGTGAACGAGTTTATGAACGCATCGATGGACGAACACAAGGAGTGATTGAAAAATACGCTGGGGAAGGTAGGACCGGGGAAGGTAGGACCTGGAAAGATAAGCACCAGGGAAGTTGGAGAGTGGGAAGATACACGAGCACGTGAACGAGTTTATGAACGCATCGATGGACGAACACAAGGAGTGATTGAAAAACACGCTGGGGAGGGTACGTGCTGGGGAGGTGCGCGCGCGCTGGGGAGGGTACGTGCTGGGGAAGTGCGCGCGCGCTGGGGAAGGTGGGTGCTGGGGAGGTGCGCGCGCACTGGGGAAGGTGAATGCTGGGGAGAGTAAGCGTTTGGGAAGGTGAGTGAGTAAGCGCTGCGGAAGGTGAGTCCTGGGGAGAGTACGCGCTGAGGAAGGTGAGTGCTGGGGAGGGTAAGTGCTGCGTGGGGAAGGTGCGCGCTGGGAGTCAGGACCTGGAACGGTAAGGACCGTATATGGTAAGCACCAGGCGAGTTGAGTTCTCTGTCAAGGAAGGAAAGGAGTAGGGAGATCTTTGTGAAGTTTGGAAACCCCCGGGTTGGAAGCTTTAGGGCGCTCACCACCCAGGTTGAAAGAATTTTCAAGGAACTGAGATTCTCGCAAGATCTTATCCAGCTCCCCATTCCATGTTCTTTGCTGGGTATTTTTGAGAATTTTAGTCCCTGCATCATTAAAGTTCGCCACCCAGGTTGGAAGCATTGTCAAGGAACTGCGATCCTCGCAACTGCTTATTCCTATCAAAATTCCTTATTTTCCGCTACTTTCCTCGATCCTTCCATTTTCTCTCTCGTTCTCTCGCACCTTTGTCTGCTCCTCTGGTCTCCAGATGTTTGGGTTCAAAAAGAAGTCCCCAGCGCTGCCCCCTCGCAACGTCGTCATCCCACTGGTCGCTCACACAGGCACTGTAGCATCTAAGGATGCGGTAGCATCACAAGATACTGTAACGCGGTAAGGCATCTCGTTTTTGCAGTCAGTCACATGGGTTTCTCACTTGAAGGTTGGAGCAGCAGCAGCGGATGCGGCGGCGGCAGCTGCACGACGGGGGCGGCAACGGCAGCAGCAGAGGCAGTGGTGTCTGCTGCAACAGGGGCTGATGTCAGCATGTGACTGCAGCAGAGGAACAGAGTGGGTGTTGTTTTGGCAGTGCTTGTTGGAGGGATCTCAGGAGGAGGGAGTTCAGAGGGATGTTTGCAGTGAAACAACTGTAGAGGGATGCCTGTGGTGGTCGGTGCAGAGCAGGCATAGGAGTGGGGACGGAAGGGGCGAGGATTGGAGAGTGCACATGACGGCTGTTGCTCAAACCCCCCTCAGGGACAGCTACAGCCTGAACCGCCACTCCCATGCTTCTTGCTCCCTCAACCCTCATGCTCAATCTGGTTCAATCATTGTCTCAAAAGTCGTCTCATTTGACAGGTTGGTTAGAAAGGGGAGGTGGGAGGGGGAGCGGAGAGTGCATATGACGGCTGTAGCTCAAACCCCCCTCAGGGGCAGCCACAGCCGCCACTCCCATGCTTCTTGCTCCCTCAACCTCCCTGCTCAATCTTATTCCATCGTGGTCTCAGAAGTCGACTCATTTGACAAGTTGGGTAGGAAGGGGAGGTGGGAGGGGGGAGGTGAAGAGCTGAGAGTGCACATGACGGCTGTGGCTCAAACCCCCATCAGGGGCAGCTACAGCCCGACCTGCCACTCGTGCGCTTCTTGCTCCCTCCCTGCCCTATTTTTATAGCACTTCCACTGTGCTTGGTAAGTGGAGGATTTTATTGTGCCGGAATATGTAAGAAAGTCTGTGAACTAGTTGTACCATGCGCTGTTTTGTGGCAATGCAGTGCATTGATTGGTCGGATGCATGATTAGCATTTCTCAACGGACGTGCTGGCAATGGTTTGCCTGCTTTCTTGCAAAGACGTTCAATATAGCCCCCTTGTGCACAAGTGGGCAAATACGGTAAGTGCCATAATTAGTTAGCTGTCAAGCTTGCAATACACAAGGACTGCCCACGTCCCTCCCGCCCACAGCTCCTCCAGTCTTGAGCGGATCATTCAGGCCAGCTTACAGTCTCTGCATTCATCCAGTCCAGACCAAATCAGCACTAGCAGGCTGTAGAGGAGATCAAGTGTGCACGGCGTATCATATCAGAGTATGCATCCAATGGTGGATCAGATCAGAAGGCATCGAGGAATCTCAAGACTACAGAAGCTCCACATGACCACCTACACTTCAGCCTACACTAGTACCCGTATATAAGCTCAGACCAGATCAGATCAGATCCGCACACAGGTGTGCAAGACTAGGTGGTCTCAAGGTATCCTCCAACCTGCAGAACGTCCTTCGCCAGAGCTTGACAGCCTTGGTGCGGCGTGCGCCGTCCAGTCACTGATACGGTATCGCTCCACGGCACAGACCAAGTACCTACAGCGCATCATATGAGATCCGTGCACAAATGCGCCAGACTGGGTGGTCTCAGGGTATCCTCCAAACTACAAAACGTCCTCCTCCAGAGCTTGACAGCCTTGGTGCGGTCGTGCGCCATCACACACCCACTCCATGCGGGCCAGGTTCCTGCACTACATTATATAAGATCCGCACACAAATGTGCCAGAGAAGGTGGTCTCAACGTGTCCTCCAAACTGCAGAACGTCCTTCGCCAGAGCTTCACAGCCTTGGTGCGGTCGTGCGCCATCCAGTCGCTGATATCGCTCCATGGCACGGCCCGCGAGTCAAACATCACGATGCGCCACGGCACGAAGAACTTCATGAGCCCTTCCTTGAACCACATGTCCACCGCAAACGACGGCGGAATCCGGTGTGCAGGCGCCCACGAGAACCACCCGTGGTAATACGCGTTCAAAAACCGGTCCACCGACCCTTCCGGGTAGGGCAAAACCGGTAGTTTCGCAACCATGTCTTCGAATGTCGTGGAGTTGGGCTGGAGAACCATCACTCGGGACGTGAACATGTCTGGGGGGAACACGCTCGGCGGGGCCGCGAAAGCGTCGTAACTGGTAACCAGCTCGTTACAATTATCGACAAAAAGCGCGACGGGATCGACATACACAAGCTTGTCGAACCCCTTCTGGTTCCACGCGTGCAGCACGGCAAAAGAATCTTCCAGCTGCCGCCCGTTCACCACTATCGGGTCCACCGCGCGGACGTAGTTGAAGAGCTTGCGGTACGGCTGCCAGTGGTCTCTAGGGACTGTGGACAGCACGAGAAGGAGAATCTTCCGGAAGGACGAGAACGAGTGGTGCTGCAGGTACGACGCGGCCCACACCCCCGCTGCAAAGTAGTTATCTTTGGTGATCAGAGTGACAAAGCCCTCTCGGCCGATGTAAGTGGGCCGGGCGGGAATCACCGGCTCATGTGCCACCAGCGAGGAGAGCAGCGTCGGGGCGGAAGGCAACCCAGCAGATGTGGTTTGCGCTGCTGCTGCTCCCGCTGCTGCGGCTGCTTCGGCGGCTGCGGCGGAGGCCCCGCGGGCCTTGGCGTGGGCGGGGAGGAGGGAGTCGTACTGGGCACGGTTGGGGAGGAAGTGCGTGAGGGAGATGGAGGTAGGGTCGAGCGGGTACCAGTCGTTTTCCTCCAGTGCATGAGCGAGGTACAGCCAGAGCGAGCACCAGAGGTTTACCTTCACCTGTGGCCCGCCGTCTGCTGTTACCACCACCCCTCCTGCCCCTCCTGCTCCCCCTTCGGTCACCCCTCCTCCGCCTACCCCACTAGCAGCGCCCGCTGCTCCTGCTGTGCTGTTCCCGCTTCCTCCTGCTGCTACTGCTTGCAGAGTCGCCGCTGCTGCTGCCTCAACGGCCTCTCGGCTCACCCCGCTCTGACCCGACGTGAGAGACGAAGCCAGAGTAGACGACAGTGCAGACGACAAACTCCCCCCACCTTTCCCCCCTCCCCCACCCCCTCCCCCACCCCCTCCCCCTCCTCCCCCGCCTCCTCCCCCTCCCCCGCCACCCTCTCCCCCGTGTATCCCCACCACCCCGCCCTCCTGCGTCCCCAGCCGCCAGGGTTTAAACCAGGGGTTGGCGAAATGGACCATCATGATTGGTCCGTTGAGGGCCTCGTGGGCGGCCTCGACGCGGAACCAGGGCGGCGGGTGGTAGTGGTCGGGGAAGAAGATGACGGCGTTGTACCGCGCGGCGAGGCGGTGCGCTGGGGGCATGTGGAACCAGCCGGAGAAGTAGGCGTTGAGGAAGCCTTGGTCGCCCTTGTTGTACGAGGGGAGACGGTGCATCTTGGCCATCATGTCAGCATACGTGGACTGGTGGGGTGGGGGGAGGGGAAATGGGGAGACGAAAGGGAAACACGCAAGTGTGTCAAGTAGAAGTCAAGTGGAACCAGGGCGGCGGGTGGTAGTGGTTCGGTAAGTCTAGTTTCGAGGCGCCTCAAGGCGGGTGGTGGTGGTTCGGGAAGTCTAGTTTCGAGGCGCCTCAAGGCGGGTGGTGGTGGTTCGGGAAGTCTAGTTTCGAGGCGCCTCAAGGCGGGTGGTGGTGGTTCGGGAAGTCTAGTTTCGAGGCGCCTCAAGGCGGGTGGTGGTGGTTCGGGAAGTCTAGTTTCGAGGCGCCTCAAGGCGGGTGGTAGTGGTCGGGGAGAAAAAGACGGCGTTGTACCGCGCGGCGAGGCGGTGTGCGGCCGGCATGTGGAACCAGCCGGAGAAGATCCTAAGAACCTATGCTTTGTTTAGAGTACCTGTGGGTGCTTCTATCGAACCATGTGGTGTGAATTAAATAGGTTATAGGGTTGTTGACACTCTCTGTAATAGCTTACATGCGATGACTTCAGCACGAGCAGCCCGCTGTTGAACTTGCTGCTCATGTACACGTCCGGCACGGCAGTGGGCTCTGCAACTGCTGCTGCTCATCAGTTTCATTCATACCCAGCCTGCCTTCACTCACACCAAGGCACTCACGTGAGACGGCTTCAGCACGAGCAGTCCGCTGTTGAACTTGCTGCTCATGTACACATCGGGCACGGCGGTGGGCTCGGGGCGTTCAAAGAGATGGTCCAGGTTGGCGAGCACGAGAGTATCCACGTCGATATAGACCACCTTGTCGTACTCCGTCATCTGCCACGCATTCAGCTTCGAGAAGCCCTTCACGCCATATCTGTTGTTCAAAGGGTAAAGGTTGAAGAGATGGGGGGAGACGGGAAAAAGGGAGGTGAGGGAGGAAGTTTGGGCAGGTGGGGCGGGTGGGCGTTCAAAAAGGTGGTCCAGGTTGGCGAGCGCGAGTGTGTCCACGTCGACAAAGTGCAGCAGCAGCAGCAGCAGCAGCAGCAGCCTGTCATTGACATTCACATCATGTGCGTTCCCATCCACCATGAGCACCAGGTCATGTGCCGTGCCCGTCAGCCTGAGGGACTGCCCTGTCGAATCAAACCCCCTTAGCCTTTCAACCCCCCTGCAAACACACTCCGCCCAAACCAAGGCTATGACTCAAGGGTAGCACTACTACTCACGGGTTGTTGACAGTCGGCACTCTCCGAACGTGATCAAAATGCAGCAGCAACAATCGGTCGTTCACATTCACGTCATGCGCGTTCCCATCCACCATCAATACAAGGTCATGCGCCGTGCCCGTCAGCCTGAGGGACTGCGCGTGGGCGAGGGCAGCGGGCAGCAGGTCAGCAGAGGCGACGAGCGTGGTGTAGGCGTAGCGCTGCTCCACCACCACTCGGTGCAACCCCGCTGCCCTCGCTGCCTGCATGCGCGTCAACGCGCGGTCGTCACAGTGAATCATGTACCCGAACTTGTCGCAAAACACCTGGGAGGTCGGAGGAGGAAGGGGAGAGGGGAGGGGGAAGGGAGGAGGGTGGAGGGAGAGGAGGAGGGAGAGGCGCAGTGTGAGTGCGTGTGTGAGAGAGGGAGAGCAGCAGGCAGAGGGCAGCAGGTCAGCAGGTCAGCAGAGGCGAGGAGTGTGGTGTAGGCGTAGCGCTGCTCCACCACCACCCGGTGCAGCCCTGCCGCCCTCGCCTTGGAGTGGTCTGTCACTCAACTCCATGCCGCCCCACTGATCTCGTGACGTGAGTGTTGAGTCAACTCAGAAGCCTCCTCCCACCCTCTCCCACCCATCCGCGCCACTCACCATCTCTTTGACATCCGGCGTCGCCTTGGAATAACTATATCTCAACTCCATGCCGCCCCACAGCCGCTGGAACGCGCCGATGCATCCGCCGCGGTCCTTCTTGTGCCCCGCGCGCGCGCTCAGCCCCACGTCGCTCAGCTCCTTCATGTTGCTGCAGGGTATTTTTGAGAATTCTCAAAAATACCCTGCAACGTCGCTCAGCTCCTTCTCCGAGTTCCTTGGAGCCAGTGTGAGAGCACGGCGTTGGAGTGCCTGTACCCAACCCCACCTAGACCACTGTCCCTCTTATCCCTCTCAACCCCTCCCATCCCCTCTCATTCCCTCCCATTCCCTGCCACTCCTTCCCACCCATCCGCGCCACTCACCATCTCTTTGACATCCGGAGTCGCCTTGGAATAACTATATCTCAGCTCCATGCCGCCCCACAGCCGCTGGAACGCGCCGATGCATCCGCCGCGGTCCTTCTTGTGCCCCGCGCGCGCGCTCAGCCCCACGTCGCTCAGCTCCTTCTCCGAGTTCCGCGTGTCGCCCCAATCCCGAGGCTTCCCGTCCACCAATAGCGGCCCGACTTTCGCGCGCTGCGAAACGACGAAGTTCATCGCGATGTCTTCGCAATTCTTCCCCGAATCCACGTACTCCTTCACCCCCTCCGGCGTGTGACACGTGTACCTAAAAAGATAATCTGCATGCAGTATAAACAGCTTCGTTAACACTATGGAATACCGGTCCTCGCGCTTCGTATACACCCATCCCTTCTCCTCCAAACTGTACACGTGCGCGCGCGGGAAGAATCCCACCAGCCGCTGCTCGTTCTCCCCCCAAACCCGCAGCGCGAATTCCAGCGTCTTATCGTCGATCGTAATGTCATCGTCGCATATAATCACCGCTCGCGTGCGAATGAACTTTCGCGGAAGGAACCGGTCGTTCAGGCTGTCGGACAGCTGTCTAACTATGTGAATCTTCGAATCCGGGCCGCCGACGCGAATCCCCCCGCCCGATCCGTGATTCCCGCCGGGAATGCCGTCTTCTCGTTCCTGCGTGGCGATTTTTTCGGCTCGCTCAACCGCCGCCGCCGCCGCCGCTGCCGCTCCTTCCCCACTTGACCCGTCATCCCACCACCCCAAATCCCCCTCAACCACGGAGAAAGGCGACGATACGTTCCCCCATAGAACATAAATCGCGTCCACTAACGGGCTCTCCGCGTAAATCTGCAGTGTCTCCTGCAACAACGGTATTCGCGCTTCGGCGTAGCCGTTAATTAGGATGGTCACCGAGTCGGCCTGTAACGCCTGCGTTGGCGGGTAGCGCTTCCTGTTGCAGATCTCCGGACCGAACTTCTTAACTACGTACGGGTCTACAGGCTCGCCAGGATCTAAGATTCGAAAACCGCCTGTTATTGTACCGAAATGGGTTGCTTGTAGCGGGGCAGGTGGAGCGGGAACGGGTACGGGAACGGGTTGCGGAGGGCAGTTGCAGTGGGGAGAGACGAGGCGCCAGATTAGGAGGAAGCCGCATAGGACGGCGATGGACCACGAAGCGCAGGTGGAGAGCTTTAAGTCTGCGAAGCGCTTCGACTTGCCGTAACGCGTATCGAGTGTGAACGATCCAGCGGACGACGATCGACTGATCATTTTCTTTTCGGTCGGTCGAGTCGGAGGCTGTTGGACGAAGAGGCCGGGCCGCGAAGGACGGCTTCGAGTGAAAATTCGCGGGCGAAGCCTGGGATGGCTCACAAAAGATTACGTCGGGAAAGCAGGTGGCGGAACCCCCGCGACTGAGAGCTGAAACAAGGTGCGCATGGTCTTTGATTACGCTATAGGCGGAATGGAGGAAAGGAATAAAGCGAGAAGTAGAGGCTTGGCGTCGCTGGGTCCTGCTGTCTTCTTGAAAGCTTGATGCATTTGATGCGGAGGCACGACGTGATGAAGAGAGTGCCCGCTAGGAAGCTGAAACGTGGTCGGGTAGGTGGGTCGGTTCGCGGGATGGTGGAAAACGCTGAAGCGTTGTTCGACAAACACAGTCATTAAAATACCTCGTTATTGCTTCGTTTCCGACAATAGAACCTTCGTATAGAGGAGTCATTTAAGAGATTACCCGTCACGTGAATGTACCCTTTAAATTCAACCTTCCTTCTAAGGACTTGCCCACAGTCTTACGGGACCTGTCTATGAATTCAGCCGCAAGAACCTCAGTGCCTGATTCACGAGAAGTGAAGTTTGTTAAGTCTTCCTCAACAAAAACTTCACTGAACATTTGAAAATCCCAGGGAGAGCTAAACTTCGTAATAGGAAGAATTGAGAGAGTATAGTGAAGTCTTCGGATGTTCGACAAACACCGGCATTACAATACCTCATTATTACTTCGTTTTCGACAGTAGAACCTTTGTATAGAGGAGTCATTTAAGACATTACCCATCACGTAATTGTGCCCTTTAAATTTAACCTTCTTTTCAGGACTAGCCCAATGTCTTACGGGACATGTCTTTGAATTCAGCCGCAAGCACCTCAGGCCTGATTCACGAGACTTGAAGATTGTTAAGTCTTCCTCAACAAAAACTTCACTCAACATTGGAAAATCCCAGGGAGAGCTAAACTTCGTAAAAGGAAGAATTTGAGAGAGTATAGTGAAGTCTTCGGATGTTCGACAAACACCGGCATTACATTACCTCGTTATTACTTCGTTTTCGACAGTAGAACCTTCGTATAGAGGAGTCATTTAAGACATAACCCATCACGTAATTGTGCCTTTTAAATTTAACCTTATTTTCAGGACTAGCCCACTGTCTTACGGGACTTGTCTTTGAATTCAGCCGCAAGCACCTCAGGCCGGATTCACAAGACTTGAAAATTGTTAAGTCTTCCTCAACAAAAACTTCACTGAACATTGGAAAATCCCAGGGAGAGCTAAACTTCGTAAAAGGAAGAATTTGAGAGAGTATAGTGAAGTCTTCGAATGTTCGACAAACACCGGCATTACTATACCTCGTTATTACTTCGTTTTCGACAGTAGAACCTTCGTATAGAGGAGCCATTTAAGACATTACCCGTCACGTAATTGTACCCTTTGAAATAAACCTTCTTTTCAGGATTAGCCCACAGTCTTACGGGACCTGTCTATGAATTCAGCCGCAAGCACCTGATTCACGAGACTTGAAGTTTGTAAGTCTTCCTTCACTGAACATTGGAAAATCCCAGGGAGAGCTAAACTTCGTAATAGGAAGAATTGAGAGAGTATAGTGGAGTCTTCGGATGTTCGACAAACACAGGCATTACAATACCTCGTTATTACTTCGTTTTCGACAGTAGCACCTTCGTATAGAGGAGTTGTTTAGGATATTACTCTTTACGTTCATATACCCTTGAAATTACACCTTCTTTGAAGTACTAACCCACAGTCATTTACTGGACCTGCCTATGAATCCAGCCAGAAATGCATCAGTGCCTGTCTTTGGGTACGTTCCTGGCTGGTGTCAAGCTTCGGGCCTTCCCGGGAAGACCCGAAGCTTTGGGTTAAAGTTCCTGTCAAACCTTTCCGGAAACATGGGGCAATTTTTGGCCGGAAGACCCGAAGTTGGTCTCGGATGACCCAAAGTGGGTCTAACTTCCGGTCATCCGCGGATGACCGGAAGCTTGACACGCGCCAGGAACGCACCCTTTCTCGACAAATACTTCACTGAAATTTGGAAAATCCCCGGGAGAGGTAATTTTCGTAGAAGAAATATACTAGAGAGTAGAACAAAAATCTTCGGAATTCGACAAACATGGTCATTACAATACCTCGTTATTGCTGTTTTCGACAGTAGAACCTTCGTATAGTGGAGTTGTTTAGGAGATTACTCGTCACGCTGTTGTACTCTTTAAATTACACATCATTTTCAGGAATAGCCCGCCGTCCTTGGGGCCTAGGTATGAAACCCGCCGCAAGCACCACCGTGCTTGATTTACGAAGATGTGAAATTCGTTTGGGTCACCTCACCTGGTCCAAGCAACAGACCTGTTTCTGACACCCTTCTCTCTCCACCTGCCAAAGATCGAAAAGCACAAATGCTTAAATCTGAAACAGCACGCATTGTAACGAGGACACGTTTTCCGAGACCTAGAAGATCCTCTTGACCAATCACAGTGGCTAGAACTAGGATAGCTCCACCACTTCATCCACCTCCACCACCAAGGCCTCGTCGCGGAAGTGTTTCGCCGTCAATTCGTCACCTTCAAATTCGCACTTTTCAACAATCGCTCTGAACTCGCGAATGTCGCGAATGCTACTTTGCAACCAGCCACCATCCATGAACGTGCAGTTCATAGCACCTCCACGCTAGAATCTCGCCTGAATTCATTCCCTACCTTGCTCTCTTGCTCCACATCACAGCTGGTTCAGTGGGCTTGTTCCACGAGCCAAGGTTCTTCCCTGCAGACCATTTGAAAACATAGTGTTCAGTCCAGACACATCGTGGGACAGGCCGGTGATAGGTCCGCTCTCGATCACTCCTGGTTTTCGTTCCGCCGTTTGCCTGTATTAGCATCTTGACTGTTAGGCAGGTACCTCAATGGATGTCTTGAGAGGAAATGTGGTGTCGCAGCAGATCGTGCTGAACAGGTCAATTTCGACGAATTTCCAGCAACCAAAAGCCCGGTTTGTGCACTGCAGCTCTTTACAAGGCTCCTCCTTTCTTGTCTCGCAACGAATCGCTTCGTCCGGATCCAGCCAACTTGCCGCGTTTGGTCTCGAACCAACTAGCACTAGAAATGCTCATTCGACCGTTACATGCTCCGCCTCGCCGTCCTCCTCTTCTTCTAGTAAATCCTCAACCACTAAGACGCGTCGCCTTATACTGCTTCGCCATGCAAAGAGCTCCTGGGACGACCCGTCGTTAATCGACCACGACCGTCCTCTCAACCCCCGCGGGAAACACGGCGCTAAGAGCATCGCTAAGAAGCTCGCGCGGCTCGGCTGGGTCCCGTCCTTAATCCTCTGCAGCGACGCCACGCGAACTCGCGAAACGCTCGAAATCATGCGGAAAGAGGACGACGGCTTTGCAGAAGCTACCGCGAGGTTTCTCGGAAGCTTCTATACCATAGCAGCCATGGACGGCCAGACGGCACGGCACCTCCACGAAACTGTCGTGCAATTGGCTCCGGATTCCGCGGACACGGTGATGTGCATGGGGCACAACCGCGGGTGGGAGGAGGCGGCGAGCGAGTTTGCCGGCGAGTGGGTCGAGCTAAAGACGGCGAACGCGGCGCTTTTGGAGTCGAAGCGGCCGCACGCGGATTGGGGTACGGCGTTCGGCGATGGGTGGAAGCTGGTGAAGATAGTCAAACCTGATGAGAAGTAGAAGTAGAAGCAGGTGCGGAGGGGTGGAGGAGGAAGCGATTGCATCAGGGGGCTTGCTTTGAAGTCGTTTTAAATTCACCTTGGGTGGAAGCTGGTGAAGGTGATCAAGCCGGTCGAGAATTAGAAGCAGAAGTGGAGGGATGGAGGAGGAGGAAATTGCACCAGGGGCGTTGCTTCTGATTCAGACACAAAAGGCACCTTGGGTGAAGGCTGGTGAAGGTGTGGTGAAGCCAGACAAGAGAAATAGAAGTAGAATCGTTGAATTGGGTGGTGACGTGAGGGAGCACAAGCGGGACGAGAAGTAAAGGCAGCAGCAGAGTGGTGGACTGTTGAAAGGGTAGTAAGGGGGCTCTGAAGCAGATCAATTAGGGTGGGGTGGGGAGAATGGGGATGCGTGCCAGAGGGGAGAGGTCATGATGAACCACGGAAAAGTGCTACTAGGCGTGGATTAACAAGAGGAAGTTGGGGGGAGGGAGGGTTATTTGGCAACGGAAAGCAGCAAAAGGTGTGAAACTGGGCAGTAGAGCACTCAGTGCTGGGAAAGACGGTAGTAACCTTTTTCTGGGTAGACGAGGCACTGCTTTCTGACCATGATTTGGTTGGTACCAAGGTATTTGAGAAATGAGTGACTAGTGTTTGCAATTGACATTACACGGCTGTGAGTATGAGACATGGAAGTCAATCCAGTCCACCTGCACCATAAGATATTCTCGGGAGAAAGCCCATCTGGTGCACCATATTCCTTATTGCAAAAAAATCAGCAACCAGCTTTACATACATCTCCAGTTACCACACCACACCCTCATGACGACTCAAGCTTCAACCATGGGTTCTCCCCCTGATGAGCTGGCAGCTTGTGATTGGGCCTTATCCGGCTTGCTTACAGCGGCAACAGAGTTGAAGAGTAGATCCTTCATCACCTGATACCGTTAGGGTTGAGCATGCGGGGTTAGGGAGAGAGAGAATGGATACAAGAGGAGAGTAAAAAAGATGGCAGCAGAGTTGACAAGTAGTAGATCCTTCGTCACCTGATTCATTAGGGTGGTGCGATAGGGGTTTGGGAAGAGCAACAAAAAGAGAGAACGTGTAGATAAGGCTCAGCATCCATTGGGAAACAAGAAGAGAGAACGTGAAGATAAGGCTCAGCTCATATTGGGAGATGAGGGTGTGTGGTGTAGAATCCATTGGCTGGCCATGAAGTTGCAGCACTATGATACAGCATGGCATGACCGGCCTTCATAAGTGATGTGAGCGTTGATGTCAGCATGAGTGATGTGAGTGCTGAGTGCAGATACTGCAGTGATGGCATCACTCTCACCTGTGACATGAGCCCGTGCAGTTGCTCCACTGTGATGCGAGTGCTGTCCCTCGTGGACCGACTCAGAGGCGTCTCTTCCTGTGCTTGCAACGGGGCACAAAGCATTTCAGGCAGTGCCAGCCATCACAGGCAGCACAAGGGAGCAGCGGTGCCAGCCAGCAAAAGAAAACAAATTGAAGATGCATGGCGAACAGGTGGTGATTTATGCCCTGGAAAATTGTGGCCAAAGTACAAAGCTCGAAGACCTTTTTAAGACTTAACGCGCTTCAAGCCCTGACCTGCTTTTGAAAATCGCTTGCAGCCCAATATCAGCACCCAACCCATTCACTTCCTCCCCCCTTCCACTCAGCTTCTCCTCCTTTCCACTCACATTCTCCCCATACCCACTCGCCTCCTTCCCCCTCCAACTCACATCCTTCCCCCTCCCACTCACCTCGTTTTCCTCAGAATCACCTCTTCCTCCATCTCACTCACCTCCTTGTGTCGCTGTGGCGGCATCAGGAACCCCCCAATGAGCCCCTCATGTAAACATCCCACCTTCCCTCCCACCTCTTACTGCTTCTTCCCCCTCCCACTCAAATCCTCCCCCCTGTCACTCACCTCCTTGCGTCGCTGTGGCGGCATCAGGAACCCCCCGATGCGCCCTGAATGCGCCAGCTGCCCCTCTGCCTGCTCCAGCTTCTCCGCTGTGGATGGGAGGGAAAGAGGGGAGCGGGTGGGAGACGGAAGGGGGAAACAGGGGGAAGGAACAGACATTGACTGCAAGTGAACCCCAATGCGCCAGCTGCCCCTCTGCCTGCTCCAGCTTCTCCGCTGGGAGAGGGAGGGGGAAAGAGGGGAGGGTAAGCGAGCGAAACGGGAGAAGTGGGTGAGGGATCACGCATTGAGCGCAAGTGATGTTCAACGCACAGCTACAGTGGTCTAATGAGGCCTACCTCATGAGGCCTACCTCGTAAGGCCTACCTCACCCCACACCCATCTTACCAAGGTCAGAAAATCGCCCTGCCACGTAGTTTTGGTTGGCGAGGAGCTGTGAGGAGGAGAGCATGTTGACCCAGTACTTGAGTCGATAATGCATACAGCACACCCACCCAGGTCGTACAGAGGACAGACTCAGGCAGGCCTGCCCACGACGTACCCAGGTCAGAAATTTGCCCTGCCACGTAGTCTCGGTTGGCGAGGAGCTGTGAGGAGGAGAGCGTGTTGACCCAGTACTTGTTCCACAGCAGGTCGAGAAGGTGTGAGTCGAGGGATGACTTGAAATATGTGATGTCTAGGGAGTAGTACTGTGCAGGGAAGAGGGATGGGGGATGAGGGATGGTAGAAAAAGACAGTGTACTTGTTGCGAGGAGGAGAGCGTGTTGACCCAGTACTTGTTCCACAGCAGGTCCAGCAGGTGTGAGTCGAGGGACGACTTGAAGTATGTGATGTCTAGGGAGTAGTACTGAGAGGGAGGGTGGATGCAGAAGGGGAAGAGATGAGGGATGGCAGGAAAGGAAGATGCTTTGAAGCAGCTGCGAGGAGGAGAGCGTGTTGACCCAGTACTTGTTCCACAGCAGGTCGAGCAGGTGCGAGTCGAGTGACGACTTGAAATAGGTGATGTCTAGGGAGTAGTACTGCCACGAGGAGAGGGGTGAGGGGTGGGGGACGGGGGATGGGGGATGGGGGATGGGGGATAGGGAGATGGTGAAAGAGGATGTGGGTAGAAGAGGGAGATGGTGTGTCAACTCAGTACCGTGCTGTTTTGTGAAGGCTTGAGAATTTGAAGAAATGGGGGAGTATAAGGAGACGAGACGACGGGCACCGCAGTGGAGTGTGGAGGAGATGCATTCATTTGGCGCCTCAGAAAGTGACTGTCGAGTAATAGCGCGTCGTGATTGTCAGAGTCGTCAAATTTCAAAACAATATAGTGAATTTGATTTTTGAAAATAATATAAGAGGATAACAAGCAAGGATTCCCGCGTACGAAACCAGCTAATAGGGACATGTAACAACCGTTTCAATGACTGTTTTTTGAGAATTCTAAAAAAAACAGACTCAATGACCCCGCATTAGGGTCTCATGCAAGCAACATCCCTCTCACACCCCTTCCCCTACCAGCCTGCACAGCACACTCAACCACCCGAACCGCATGTGCTCACCTGCTTGCAGTGCACGCCAAAGTCCTCAATTTTGTTGAGAGGGATGGTTTGATACTCCGATGGCGGCTCATCTGGTGGCTTGTACCCCTTGGGATATGTGCGGAATGCTCCAATCTCCACCTGGAAATTAGGCAAAGAGAACAGAAGGAGAGGGTGAAAGCAAAAGAAGAAGAAAAGAATGTAAAGAGAAGTTAAAAGAAAGAGAGATTGAAGGACCATGGTGCTTTTGAGACAATAAGAAAAAAACAGTTTACTATCACATGGTGCGCACATCTGTTAGAGACTTATGACATAGCGTACTATTCTCCCCTCTCCCTGCCTCTGCATTCCCGGTCCATGCTTTGCCATACCTTACCCGCCCTGCTCCACCTACCTTGCCAGCTGCCACGGTGCGAGTGGGGTTGATGACGACAGCCAGAAAAGGTTCTTGGAACTCCTGGTTGAGCATCTGAGCAGCACCACTGTTGCAAGAGCATCACTCTTCGCCCTACCTTTCCAGCGGACACGGTACGGGTGGGGTCGATGACGACAGCGAGGAAGGGCTCTTGGAAATCCTGGTTGAGCATCTGAGTGGACACGTCGATGCCTGACAGCCAGCACCCGTACCCCGGATGGGAATGGTACCCCTCTCACTCTCCCTTCCCGTGCGCCCTGCCCTGCCCTGCTTGCCTGACATGCTCCACCTACCTTGCCAGCGGATACAGTACGGGTGGGGTCGATGACAACAGCAAGAAAAGGCTCTTGGAACTCCTGGTTGAGCATCTGAGTGGACACGTCGATGCCTGACAGCCAGCACCCGTACCCCGGATGCGAGTGGTACCCCTCTCACTCTCCCTTCCCGTGCGCCCTGCCCTGCCCTGCTTGCCTGACATGCTCCACCTACCTTGCCAGCGGATACAGTACGGGTGGGGTCGATGACAACAGCCAGAAAAGGCTCTTGGAACTCCTGGTTGAGCATCTGAGTGGACACGTCGATGCCTGACAGCCAGCACCCGTACCCCGGATGCGAGTGGTACCCCTCTCACTCTCCCTTCCCGTGCGCCCTGCCCTGCCCTGCTTGCCTGACATGCTCCACCTACCTTGCCAGCGGATACAGTACGGGTGGGGTCGATGACAACAGCCAGAAAAGGCTCTTGGAACTCCTGGTTGAGCATCTGAGTGGACACGTCGATGCCTGACAGCCAGCACCCGTACCCCGGATGCGAGTGGTACCCCTCTCACTCTCCCTTCCCGTGCGCCCTGCCCTGCCCTGCTTGCCTGACATGCTCCACCTACCTTGCCAGCGGATACAGTACGGGTGGGGTCGATGACAACAGCCAGAAAAGGCTCTTGGAACTCCTGGTTGAGCATCTGAGTGGACACGTCGATGCCTGACAGCCAGCACCCGTACCCCGGATGCGAGTGGTACCACCCCACCACGTTCTCCAGCCGCCCAGCCTGAAGGGGAAGGGAAGAGAAGGAGGAAACGTGTGGAGGATGGGGGAGGGGGCATCAGCACCCATACCCCGGATGCGAGTGGTACCACCCCACCACGTTCTCCAGCCGCCCCGCCTGTAGCAACGAGGGGGGAAGACAAGGGGGAAAGCGCGGAAAGGATGGGGGGAAGGGGGCATCAGCACCCGTACCACGGATGCGATTGGTACCACCACCACGTTCTCCAGCCGCCCCGCCTGCATTAGTGGTAAGGGGAGAGAGGGAGGGGATGTGCGGAGGATAGTGGAAGAGGGGAGTCAGCACCCGTACCCCGGATGCGAATAGTACTAACACCTCAACACGCCTCCCGCCACCCTGCCTGCGGTGGCGAGGGGAGATGGGCGTGTTGAAAAAGAAAGGGTTTGGGAAGAAGGGTTGGGGGAACGGTGCAGGCGAAGGGGTGGGCTTAAGAGTTTTCAGGTGCAAGGGTAACCCACCACTTACCCTCTTATTCGTCTGGGTAAACTCCACCATGTACTCGTACGCCTCAGCCTGGGCGTTGACTCGGGTCTCAGTGCCCTCCATAGGCAGTGCAAGGGTAACCCACCACTTACCCTCTTATTCGTCTGGGTGAACTCCACCATGTACTCATACGCCTCAGCCTGGGCGTTGACTCGGGTCTCAGTGCCCTCCACAGGCAGTGCAAACGCGTCCATGACAATAATTGTGCCGTCCACAACTTTTCCTTGCATTATCCCCATCACCTGCACAGGGAAGGCACAGGAGGTTTACATGGGCTGTTTTATCAGAGCCAACGCCAACGCCAACGCCAAGGCATCCATGACAATGATTGAGCCGTCCACCACCTTCCCCTGCATGATGCCCCATCACCTGCAGAGGGAAGGGCGCAGGGGGTTCGCAGGAGGAGGGCGCAGGGGGCGCAGGAGGGAATGGCGCAGGGGGCGCAGGAGGGAAGGGCGCAGGGGCCGCAGGTTGCTGTTTATATCAGAGCCAACGCCAACGCAGCGATGACGATCATGGTTCCGTCCACCTCCTTCCCCTGCATGATGACCATCACCTGCCATGGGAAGGGTACAGAACCAATCAATAGAGTCGCTAAAAACGGCTCTTCTTCTATCGAACCTAATGCGTCCATGACGGTGATCCGGCGCGCGGCGTTCTTCTTAAAGATGGTGCGAACGACTTTGGTCCGTGGCTTCTATTCTGCGACAGCAAGTAGTCGCAGGAAGTAGTCGCAGATGCGCTCGACGTATCTCTAAATAGAGTTTAGGCGCACGATTTTTCTTTCCTGGGTACTGCGTACCGCGAGTCCAGGCCCCTGGCCCCTGGTCTCAAACGGTTCGATTCGAAGCCTTCGTGGAAGGTGGGCCGCGGGTATCGAGCACGCACCTCGATCGTGTCCCCTGATCGCGCATGCACGACCATTTTCAGCAGCGCGAGCGCGGAGATTCGGACGTTTTTAAAGTAGTGCGGGTCTTTGGTCCATGGCTTCTGCGATAGCACGTCCGCGTGGATTCGCTCGTCGTAGCGGTAGATCGCGTCCACGTCAGCGGACGCCAACGGCTCGATTCGATTCTCCAGCTCCCATGTCTGTCGTGCTTGTAACGAGTCCATGGCGAAACGACCAGAAAAAACAATGAAGAGGAACAATGATAGGAGAGGATATGGAAACAAAAGTGAGAAAAAAGGGTACCGAGAAAGCGTTCGAGAGAAAGCCAGCTTGGGATACCAAGCTGTTGTGGACTCCGCCTGAGCAATGCTATATTTCCACACCACCAAGAACCACCTGTAAATTTGCCTGCGGAGAATTTGAGGGGAAAAGATCATTCTGGGGCCGAACAGTGGCAGAGGGGTGATCAAAGTAGGGCCGGAACATCTCGACCGTAGGATTTCAATTCGGAGCTGCCCGAGCGGCTGGGCGAACAAGCCGAGGCATGAGTTAAAGAGAATTAAAAGAAAAGCCGACTTTTGTGTTCAGTTTGTTTTTTAGTGGTTTCGACCGCCGTCTACTACAACGCGCGCGTGGCCTTATTCTGGAAGTAAAATTCGGCATTTCAAATTGTGAGTACGTACAACATACTAGGGCGTGTTACATTTTCGATTTTCTTCCAAACTGTCCGGACCGTCAGAACGGTTTAGACTGGTCTAATTGTAAAACGATTTGTTCAAGTGGGTTTCAATACGACTCAGAGTGGTGATTGTCTGAACCGTCCGGAAAAATCGAAAATGTTACACGCCCTTATATTCCGGGTGATACATATCACCTACCCGATTGGAAACGCATAAGAAAAAAATATTACCCATACGGAAATGGATGCGACTCGGGAGGCATCAACCCTAAATTCCAGGAAGGTTTCTGTATTTAGGGTTGATCCATACCGAAAATGCATCCAGGTTCCCTACGAGTTTTTTTTTTGCTGCCCTTGGAGTTCCCAGTAGATTCGGCTCGCTAAACGACTCGCGAGCGAAAATGCGAGCTGGTACATGCAATTCATAACAGAATTACGTGCAATAAACAGAGACTCTCTGTTAATCCCCCCTCGCGAAGCGGTTTGGTAAGTTCCGAACCTCTTGGCCCTTGGTCGATCACCCCTCTGGCACTGATCGGCCCCTCGTTGATCTTTTCCGGAATTTGATGGCGGGGTAGAGAGGGGGTATTTTGATATTCTCGTTCGGTCTACACTACGTCGACAGTGCAAACTTGGTACTACACGCGAGACCATTTTCGGTCGGTTTGTGTTTCAACAATGAAGACACTTGCAGGCCGAAGTGCATTTCCGAAAGACACTGACGTCAATTCTCCCTCGTCTCTTCGTGATTCACAGAAACTGGGAAACGTTTCAAAGCCACTCCCTCACCCTACACATATAGTTACAGAGAAGCAATCCGAACAGGGAGAGTGCTATATTTCGCATATAAAGGTGACAAAACAGTAGAGAATAAGCACTTAGGGGACACAATTCTATTTGATCCACAACCATTACCCACCTTGCTTTTGCCATGCCATCCTTGTGCTTGTACCTGCTTGCAAACACTCATCTTTGATGATAATGACCAGGTCTGCACCTTTGCTGTGCATGCATATGTGCAGGGAGGATGGAGCAGATTGGAATAGTATTTCCTTATTGTCCAAACGGCTGCCCCAAAACCAAAAGTACAAACAGGACATTACAATATTTAACCCACCCACCCCTCCCGCAGCCGGACTAAACCCTACTCTAACCCGCCGCACCCCTTCCTTGCATGCCCCTCTTTCCCACCCCTGGCCTTCTCCTCCCTCAAGTTCATAATCACCTACCTCTAGCATGCCCATATCCCCTTCACTCCCCCTCCTCATTACACATCAACTTCCTTTTCCCAGTCCACCCCCCCACATCCTAAAAACCCCAACTCCCACTACCGCTCATCCCATCCCAAGCTTGACTAGCAACACGCCCCCTTGTCCTCCAATATCTTCTGGCACTCAAGTTTCAACTCCAGAAGCCTCGTCTCACTTCCCGCTCTTCTTGCCCTTGGGAGTCTGGGGCGACGTCTTGATCGCCTGATAGTGCTTCTGGCGCTCCGCCGCCGCCTCATCGGCGCGGTGCTGGACCTCCGCTTTGATGATAGGCCAGAAATGCTCCTTGAAGAACTTCGCCGCTTGCACAGCGTCAATCACGTGCCCGCTTCCGGGCAGCAGGGCGTTCAGCGCCGCCTTGCCAGCGTTCTTCGCGGCTCCCTCGGCCAGTTTCTTGTGATTCTCCGGGTCCTTGGCCTCCTTCTTCGCCATCTCGAACGCCTCCTTCGCGATCGCAGCGGCCTTGGCGCGCATCTCCGCCGTGACTTTAATCTTGGGCGACTCGGCTTTCACGTAGCCCGCCGGCGCGGGCTTGGAGCCCTTGTTGCCTAAAGCGCGCCGATTAGTCGTACTAGGGTGGCTGGAAAGAGCGGAGGCAGCCGAGAGGCTCAGCGCGAAGGCCGCGAGGAAGGTGAGAAGAAGGACGTGACGGAGAGCCATGGCGACGGAACGGATGGATACCGGGCGGTATCTCCAAAGTTGGACAAATGCGGCACGCAACGAGTTGAGAGGTATAGTAGGCTATTAGAGATGTTGCTCAAATGATGTGCTGAGAGTCGAAGTTCCTTGTATTAAATACTAGTAATGTGCGATGCCAGCAATGGTGTAACAGCGAAAAGGATCCGCTGCAGTAGTAACACCGCACCTGTCGCACGAGCGGCCGAATAATTGTGAAAAAAATACGGAAGTGGCGTCGCAGCTTATTACAACTGATGCCCAGCGGGACCGCAGCGAGCGCTACTACGCGAGCCATGAGCTTCTCTGGTGCGGCTTGAAATAATCGCGTAAAAATGGGCTGCAAACTACTTTGTGAGCCGAGGAGGAGAGGCAGGCAATGGGTGGGGCCGCGGGAGGAGGCTGGGCGAGTGGGGGGGCTAGGGGAGACGTTGGCGGAGTGGGCAGCGAATCAGTTGAATTGCGAGTTGTATCGCCACAAAACATTCAGCATCCCACAGAACCGCAATAAAACGTACACTAGGAGGCACTTTCGGCTTCTTGCTCTGGATGCACATCCTCCCGCGAGACGCGGCTAGAGTTTTGATTGGGCAGCCTGGTTCTGCTTCCTCCAATTATATGATTCCCCCCCCGTGGGTGCGAGGAAAAGTGACGCTGCCGCATATCTCGGCGCCCTTCCGCAAGCATCTTTTTGTAAACTCATTCGATTGTATGCGAACATTGTTAAATGCTCGTGCATTACACTGAATCATGTTAGACTATGCTTCTGGTATGATTGTGTCCCGAATTCTATCAGACAAAACATTCAGCGCTCAAATCTTCCAGCTAGTTGCATCTGCTCATCCCTCGTCCCTCGCCCATTTCTTCTTCCTCGGTCGCACCACTCAATCCTGGCTGGAGCTCCATTCAAACTCACAAATAACGCGCTCGCATTCAACGAGTGGCGATACACGCGCAACGCAGCCATGGAGTCATTTCTTGGAACACTCGGTCAGTCCGAAAACACCTGTGCATGCAGCACCTGTGCCTCTCAAGCCACCACAACATCCACCTTGCTACACTTGCAGCACTTGTGGCATGCGGACTAGTAGTCCTCATGCCAACATGTCAATGCCAGCATGCCGTCGCCCTCACTCACCTGTGACATGAGCCCGTGCAGTTGCTCCACGGTGATGCGAGTGCTGTCCCTTGTGGACCGACTAAGAGGTGTCTCCTCCTGCGCACGCAGTGGGGCAGAGAGGATTCAGACGGGAGTCAAAGGCAGTACAAGGAGATGTGGAATGTCTCAAAAGCACACTGAAATCAAAAGCACACTGAAATCAAAAGCACACTGAAATCAAAAGCACACTGAAATCAAAAAGCACACTGAAATCAAAAGCACACTGAAATCAGAGGCGACTCCTCCTTCCTGTGCATGCAGCGGGGCGCAGGGCATTCAGGCAGTGCCGTCAAGGGCAGCGCAGGGAAGCACAAGGGAGCAGCAGAGGCCAGCTAAAGGGAACGTACAAAGTCAAGATGCACAGTGAAGCAAACAAAAAATCACAACCTAAAACTAGGCTTTAATACCTTGGAAGCATTTCAAGAGTTTTTTAAAATTGCTCACCCCCCAATGACCCCCTCATCTCAAAATCCTTCCCCCCTCTGGCCTTGCTTCTTCTCCCCCTGTCACCCACCTCCTTGCGTCGCTGTGGCGGCATCAGGAAACCCCCCATGCGCCAGCTGCCCCTCGGCCTGCTCTAGCTTCTCCGCTGTGGACGGGAGGGTGGGGGGAGGGTGGGGGGAGGTGGAACATACAAATGAAGCTTGAGAGGTTGAAGCTTGAGAGGTTGAACATCCCAAATGAAAGGAGATCTGACCAAGTACTTAATTGCAATCGGCAAGGGGTTGCGAGAAGGAAAGAGAGTGGCCCGTTGACTCGAGTCAATAGGAACTGCAGCACACCAGGTCTTATGGTGTTCGGATTCTGTAATCAGGAGGGCCGCAGTGTACCCACATCATAATTATTTTCCTAGATTAGCAAGAAAAAATGAAAACATAATTAAATAAACAAAAACAAATCAAACAAACAACCAAACAAACAACAAAAAATAAAATAAATAAATAAAAAAAAAAACTCCACGCAGCGTACGAAGGTCAGATATCTGGCCGGCGACGTAGTCTCGGTTGGCAAGGAGCAGCGCGGAGGAAAGGGCGTTGGATTCTGGCGGCAAACCCACGTCATACACACAAATAGGTCGAACTTCACCTCTACAGCCACTCCCCCATCTTACCCAGGTCGGAGATCTGCCCGGCCACGTAGTCTCGGTTGGCCAGGAGCTGCGAGGAGGAAAGGGTGTTGCCTTGGGACTTGAATCAACCAGAAATGCAGCACACCCACCCCCTGCACATCCGACTTGGGTGGGTCCCAAGTCCCAAGGGGGTGGGTGTGCTGCATTTCTGAATCAACCAGAAATGCAGCACACCCACCCACGTCAACAAAGGCCTGCAAACAAACCTCCCCCTCACACCCATCTCACCCAAGTCGGAGATCTGCCCGGCCATGTAGTCGCGATTGGCGAGGAGCTGCGAGGAGGAAAGCATGTTGACCTAGTGCTTGAATCAACCAAAAACGCAGAGCACCCACCCAGGTCGTACGAAGGACACACTCAGGCAACAGGCGTGCCCACAACGTACCCAAGTCGGAGATCTGCCCGGCCACGTAGTCGCGATTGGCGAGGAGCTGCGAGGAGGAAAGCGTGTTGACCCAGTACTTGAATCAACCAAAAACGCAGAGCACCCACCCAGGTCGTACGAAGGACACACTCAGACAACAGGCGTGCCCACAACGTACCCAGGTCGGAGATCTGCCCGGCCACGTAGTCGCGATTGGCGAGGAGCTGCGAGGAGGAAAGCGTGTTGACCCAGTTCTCAGCACAAGCATGCACAAGCAGTGTAACTGTGCGGGCACACACAGGTCAGATTCAAGTGATACGCCTGTGAGCAACGTACCCAGGTCCGAGATCTGCCCGGCCACGTAGTCTCGTTTCGCGAGGAGCTGTGAGGAGGAGAGTGTGTTGACCCAGTACTTGTTCCACAGCAGGTCGAGCAGGTGCGAGTCGAGGGATGACTTGAAATATGTGATGTCCAATGAGTAGTACTGTGAAGGGGTGGGGATGCGGGATGAGGTATGGTAGGAAAAGGAAATGCTTTGAAAATGTGAGGAGAGCGTGTTGACCTAGTACTTGTTCCAGAGCAGGCCGAGCAGGTGTGAGTCAAGCGATGACTTGAAATATGTGATGTCCAGTAAGTAGTACTGACACAAAGGAGGGAGCGGAGTGGGATGGAGGATGGGGGATAGGGGGATGGTGGAAGAAAGCTTCGAAGCGGCTTTGATCCAGTACTGTGTTGCTCCGTTGAGGCTTGAGCATTTGAAGAAACGGGGGAGCATAAGGAGACAAAGGGCGTTGCAGTGGAGTGGCTGTGGAGAGGAGATGCTTTCAAGAGGCGCCTCAGAAAGTGACTGTGGATTCACAGCGTGTAGTGACTGCGATAGAATCGCCAAGTTTCAAAACACTTTAACGACTTTGATTTCAGAAAGTACTGTACGAGTATAACAGGCCAGGACACCTGCGTGTGAAACCAGCTATTAGCGACATGTAACAGCCGTAGCAATGACTTCGAATAACAGGCTCATGCAAGCACCATCGCTCTCAAACCCCTTCTCGCCTGCCCACACAGCACATCCAACCGCCCTGACCGCATGCGCCCACCTGCTTGCAGTGCACGACCTGACCGCATGCGCTCACCTGCTTGCAGTGCACGACCTGACCGCATGCGCTCACCTGCTTGCAGTGCACGCCAAAATCCTCTATCTTGTTGAGAGGGATGGTTTGATACTCTGATGGCGGCTCATCTGGTGGCTTGTACCCCTTGGGGTACGTGCGGAACGCTCCAATCTCCACCTGAAAGACAAACAGGAGGACAGAGGGAGAACATTTGACAATTGAGTAAACAAAAAAATCTGGCGGCTCACCTGGCGGAGAGGAAAGAAAGAGAAGAGAAGAACGGAAAGAGAAGTTAAAAGACAGAGAAATTGCTAGAAGGACCATGGTGTTTTTGAGACGCCTCACAGTTTAATATCACATGGTGTGCCCCGCTTAGCTCCTGGACGGCATAATAACAGCCTACTCCACGGGCGAGCGTTTCTCCTACGAGAGTCAAGATCTGCTGGGAGACTGCTTTCTCAAGGCGGCGTTCAGCTCACATTTTTTTTGTGAGCTGCCCGGCACGCACGAGGGCGTGTTGACTCAGCACCGCACAGACGCTATCAGTAACGAGGCACAGACGCTACCGCACGAGGCACTGCTCTTGGAACTCCTGGTTGAGCATCTACGCTGCACAGAAGTTGCAAACCCTTGGTGTGCCTTACCCTGTCCTCCCATCCCTCTCCTTCTCCGTGCTTTCCCATCCGCCCTGCCTGCACCCGCCTTGCCAGCGGACACGGTGCGGGTGGGGTCGATGACAACAGCGAGGAAGGGCTCTTGAAACTCCTGGTTGAGCATCTGAGCCGCACAAGTGGTTCAAACCCATGGTGTGCCCTGCATAGCCCTCCCCCCCACTCTTTCTCTGTGCTTTCTCATCCATCCCCCATTGCCGTACCTTGCCAGCGGACACGGTGCGTGTGGGGTCGATAACAACAGCCAGAAAAGGCTCTCGGAACTCCTGGTTGAGCATCTGAGTGGACACGTCGATGCCTGACAGCCAGCACCCGTACCCTGGATGCGAGTGGTACCACCCCACCACGTTCTCCAACCGCCCCGCCTGTATTAGTGGGAAGGGGAGAGAGGGAGGGGATGTGCGGAGGATAGTGGAAGAGGGGGTTCAGCACCAGTACCCTGGGTGCGAGTGGTACCATCCCACCACGCTCTCCTGCCGCCCTGCGCAGTGGCGAGGGGAGATGGGCGTGTGAAAAAAGTAAGGGTTTGGGAAGAAGAGTTGGGGGAACGGTGCAGGCGAAGGGGTGGGCTTAAAAGTTTTCAGGTGCATCTTCCTATATATTCCTAGACAGGAAAATCCAGTATCTTACCCTCTTATTCGTCTAAGTGAACTCCACAATGTACTCGGGTCTCTGTGCCCTCCCTCACAGGCAGAGCAAGGGTAACCCACCACTTACCCTCTTATTCGTCTGAGAAACCTCCACCATGTACTCGTACGCCTCATCCTGGCGTTGACTCGGGTCTCTGTGCCCTCACATGCAGAGCAAGGGCAACCCACCACTTACCCTCTTATTCGTCTGGGTGAACTCCACCATGTACTCGTACACCTCAGCCTGGGCGTTGACTCGGGTCTCTGTGCCCTCACATGCAGAGCAAGGGCAACCCACCACTTACCCTCTTATTCGTCTGGGTGAACTCCACCATGTACTCGTACGCCTCAGCCTGGGCGTTGACTCGGGTCTCAGTGCCCTCCACAGGCAGAGCAAACGCGTCCATGACAATGATGGTTCCGTCCACCACCTTGCCTTGCATGATGCCCATCACCTGCCGAGGGGAAGAGGGGAAAGAGTTTACTTGCCTTATAACGGGCCTGCTTGTAACAGACCACACGCGTCCATGACTATGATTGTGCCGTCCACCACCTTGCCCTGCATTATGCCCATCACCTGTGAAGGAGACGGGGTTACTGGGGTTGCTTAAAACGAGCGCGATTATTATATCAGTGCAAACACGTCCATGACGATTATGGTTCCGTCCACCACCTTGCCCTGCATTATGCCCATCACCTGCGAAAGGGATGGGTTAATTAAAAATGCGTATATCGAGCTTGACTATACTGGAGTCAATGCGTCCATGACGATAATTGTGCCGTCCACCGCCTTGCCTTGCACTATGCCCGCCCACCACCTGCCATGGAACATCAAATAAAAAACCCAGCGCGTCAATGGCGGTGATCCCACATGGAGTTCTTTGGTGCAAAATGCGCGGATGGCGGAGGATCCTGCAACAGCACATCCGCACAAATGCGCTCGTCATAGCTCTCAGTGCTGAGCATCCCCCTCGTCAGTGCGCTCAGGAGCACTGGGTCTGCTTTCTTGGGTGCTGCGTGCCTTCAGTTCAGGGCCGCTCGTCTCAAACTGTCTGAACTGTCAGTCGGCTGAGGCGAATTCTGAATCGACTGAGGTGATTTTTGCGTAGACTTAATTATGACCAGGAAATCTGCTTTCTTCGGCTGTGGGATCCTAATCTCGAAGATTTTAAAGCCCTCGTCGAAGATAGGTATCACCTCGAGTTTGCGAGTTTGTAAGAGGTAACAAACCACGCACCTCTATGGTGTCGCCTGATCGCGCGTGCACGACCATTTTCAGCAGCGCGAGCGCGGAAATTCGCACGTTTTTGAAAAAGTGCGGGTCCTTGGTCCATGGCTTCTGCGACAGCACGTCCGCGTGGATTCGCTCGTCGTAGCGGTAGATCGCGTCCACGTCAGCGGACGCCAACGGCTCGATTCGATTCTCCAGCTCCCATGTCTGCCGTGCTTGTAACGAATCCATGGCAAAACGACCAGAGAAAAAAAGAGTTCGAAGGAACAACGACAGGAGGGGATAGCGAAAAACTATGTGAGAAAACTACCGAGGAAGAGTTCGAGAGGAAGCCAAAACGAGATACCAAGCTGCTCAGCATTTCACCTCCCCAAAGAACCTCCTCTAAATTTGCCTGCGGAGAATTTGGTAGTGGGGTGGGGTGGGGAGGGAGTATGTTGATGTTCTCGTTCGGTCCACCCTACATCGACAGTGTACTATCCGTGAGCTGAATTATCCCTCACCCAACATTTTAGAGAGAGGCGCGCCATACAGACAAAAGAGTTTCATTTTGCATGTAAACCTGACAAAAGTAGAGAATACGCACTTATGGGGCACAATTCTATTTGACCAACAACCATTACCCACCTCTGCTGTGCTGCTTCAACCGTCCCTGTGCTTGTACCTGCTTCTCAACACACTCTAAAAGCTGATGATAACGACCAGGTCTGCACCTTTGCAGTCCATGCATACCATGGAGCAATTTGGAGTAGTGGTATTTCCTTGGGTGGATAATTTATTGCCCAAACGGCTGTTTCAAAATCAAAAGTACAACCAAGACATTTCAGCCGCAACATTTACCCCACCCACTCCTCCCACACCCTGACTAACCCCACTCTAACCCACACCCCTTCCTTGCCTACCCCTCTTTCCCACCTACAGCCTCCTTCTCCCTCAAGTCCATCACCTTCTATCACCAGCATCCATATCCGCTTCACTCCCCCTCCTCATTTCACATCAACCTCCTTCGGCAATTAAGTCGGAAACCCTTCCCTTTCCTGGACCATCATCCCCCATCATCATCATCACCCCCCTTTCCACTAAAACCCTCTACCAGCCACTCTTCCCAGTCCACCCCCCACATCCTAAAAAACCCCAACTCCCACTACCACTCCTCCAATATCTTGTTCCTCTGGCACTCAAGTTTCGATTCCAGAAGCCTCGTCTCACTTCCCGCTCTTCTTGCCCTTGGGAGTCTGGGGCGGCGTCTTGATCGCCTGATAGTGCTTCTGGCGCTCCGCCGCCGCCTTGTCCTCGAGCTTCTGGACCTCCGCTTTGATGATGGGCCAAATCTGCTCCTTAAAGAACTTCGCCTTTTTCGCAGAGCCAATCACGTGCGCGCTTCCGGGCACCAGGGCGTTCAGAGCCATCATTCCGATCTGCTCCGCCGCTACCATGGCCGCTTTCTTCTGATTCTCCGGGTCCTTCGCCTCCTTCTTCGCCTTCTCGAACGCTTCCTTCGCGATCTCCTTTGCCTTGGCTTGCATCTCCGCCGTGACTTGACGCTTCGGCGACTCGGCTTTCACGTAGCCCGCCGGCGCGGGCTTGGAGCCCTTGTTGCCTAAAGCGCGCCGATTATTCGTACTAGGGTGGCTGGGAAGAGCGGAGGCAGCCGAGAGGCTCAGCGCGAAGGCCGCGAGGAAGGTGAGAAGAAGGACGTGACGGAGAGCCATGGCGGCGGAATGGATGGATACAGGTATCTTGGACGAGCTGAAAGGTACTCGGACTCTAGATGTCCGGAGGATTCTAGGACAAATGCACCTGACGAGTCGAGAGGTAATAGTAGGTTATTAGAGATGTTGCTCAAATGATGTGCTGAGAGTCGAAGTTCCTTCTGTTAAATACTATCGTGTGCGCTGCCCCCTATGGGGTAACTGCGAAGGGAGGCCGAATCGGCTGTACGAGGGCTCGTACCCGCCGCACGAGCGACCGAATAATTGTGGAAAATACGGCGGTGGCATTGCAGCTTCTTACAATATATGCACAGCGCGACCGCCGCGAGCGCTACTATGCAAGCCATGAGCTTCTCTAGTGAGGCTTGAAATAATCGCGTAAAAATGGCGGAAGGGGTAGCGAATCAGTTTCAGTCCAGCTTCTTGTTGACCGAATTGCAAGCTGCATCGCCGCAAAACATGCAGCATCCCACAGAACCGCAATCGAACGCGGTGGGAGTTCTGCTTCCTCCCATCCATAATGATCCCGCCCGTGGGTGTGACGAAAAAGTGTTGCTGCCGCATATCGCGGCGGACAAATGACACCTCAACAACATGTGTTCTTTATACAGCAACTCGATTGTATACGGACACGTTATTTTGCCAAACTTTATAACGAACCTTGGACAAACGAAAATTTCAGGGCTCAAATCCCCCTCACCCTCAATTCCCGAGGATTTCCAATTATTTCCGTTCCGTCCACCCATATCCCTCCCTCGCCCATTAAATCGAGGAAGGGACGGGATTAATGGGGTTGATTAAATCGAGTGTAATCATATCAGAGCCAACGCATCCATAACAATGATTATGCTGTCCACCACCTCTCACTTGCCTCGGGGAAGGGACGGAATCACTAAAGTTGCTAAAAACGGCTCGTATTTGACAAACCTAATGCGACCATGACAGTAATCCCGCGCGGGCATTATATGACATGGTCTTATTGTTAAACTGTATTATGCTTGTAGGCTGTAGTGGGGTAGCCAATATGGGGTACAACCCCAACTAGGGTTTCATATTTGTACCCAAACTTCTGCTAGTTCAATCATTCTTGCCTAGTGATTCTGACATGGTATTCAGAGCAGGAGGTCCCTAGGACCTACCGACCGTTTTTTTTTAAGGGCCCACCACCGCTCGCATGCGGTTACCACGCTACCCCGTGCAATAGCCTCGTAGCGCCCTCGTGCGCCCTCGTTAGCGCCCTCGCGCGCCCCTCGTTAGCGCCCTCGCGCGCACCCTCGTTAGCGCCCTCGCGCGCCCCTCGTTAGCGCCCTCGCGCGCCCCTTGCTAGCGCCCTCGCGCGCCCCTCACTAGCGCCCTCGCGCGCCCCTCGCAGTGTCGCCCGCCCGCCGAGCCGCCCGCTCGCAGCCCGCTCGTCCTGCTGCCCGCTTCGCAGCCCGCCCGCCCGCTCGCTGCCCGCTTCGCGGCCCGCCCGCCACGCAGCCCGCCCGCCCGCTCGCTGCCCGCTTCGCGGCCCGCCCGCTTCGCAGCCCGCTCGCTCGCTGCCCGCTTCGCGGCCCGCCCGCTTCGCAGCCCGCTCGCTCGCTGCCCGCTCCGCGGCCCGCCCGCTTCGCAGCCCGCTCGCCCGCTCGCTGCCCGCTTCGCGGCCCGCCCGCCCGCTCGCTGCCCGCTTCGCAGCCCGCTCGCTCGCTGCCCGCTTCGCGGCCCGCCCGCTTCGCAGCCCGCCCGCCCGCTCGCTGCCCGCTTCGCGGCCCGCCCGCTTCGCTGCCCGCTCGCAGCGCCGCCCGCCCGCCCGCTACCTGCTTCGCAGCGCCGCCCGCTGCCTCACTGCCCGCTTGCTGCGTCCCCTCTGCTGCTGCCGCTGCTCTGCTGTGCCCTCACGCCTGAGCTATGGCCTCTATTCGCGTTCTTTCCTTCGATGCTGAGGGCCGTCCCGTGCAGTTCACTTCCTGGCTCGACGACCTGCAGTTGTATCTTATGAGCAATAGCACGGACCACATCTCCCTCTATGACTACGCGTCTGGTGCTGCCGCTGCTCCTGCTGCCACAGCCGAGCTTAGTGTTCGTTCCCACTGGCAGACTCGTGACGCAGCTGCTCGCCTAGCCATTCGTAGTCACCTGCCGCTAGCTGAGCTCGAGCATTTTGGCGACTGCAAATCCGCTAAGGCCCTGTACGATGCTGTCGTTGCTCGCTACTCCTCACCTGCCACAGCCGAGCTTAGCCGCCTCATGCTGCCGTACCTGTTCCCCGATCTGTCCACCTTTACTACAGTCGCCGATCTTATCACCCACCTTCGCACTAGTGATGCTCGCCTGCGTGCCGCCCTTCCCACCGAGTTCTGCGCTAAGAACCCCCCTCCACTGTACTGGACACTCCACTTCATAGTCACCCGTCTCCCTGACACCCTCCGCTCAGTTCGAGACCACTTCCTTGCTCGCTGTCCCACTGAGCTCACAGTCGCCCTCCTAGAGGAGCAGCTGCTCGCGGCCGAAAAGAGCATTGTAGCTGTTGGTGCTGCTCGTGGCGCTCCTCGCACCCCCATCTTTGAGGGGTGTTCTCCCTCTCCCCTCGCTCCCTCCTACGCTGCTGCTGCTGCTGTTGACTTCCTTGGTGCTGAGTCTGTTGGCGCTGCTTCTGCTCCTGGTGGGAGGCGCCGCACCGGCAAGGGCAAGGGGGGCAAGGGTGGTGGTGGTGGCGCTGGGGGGGGAGGAGGTGGGGGAGGTGGGGGGGGAGGCGGTGCTGGAGGGAGCGGTGGCGGGAGCGCTGGTGGGAGTGGGGTCGGTGGTGGAGGCGGGGGCGGCGGCGGAAGCAGTGGCAGTAGTGGCGGCGGCGGCGGTGGCGGCGGTGGCGGTGGTGGCGGTGGTGGCGGTGGCGGTCGGAGCGGTGGTAGTGGTGGCGGCGGAGGTCGGAGTGGAGGCACTGGCTCGGGCCAGAGCTCCCAGCAGCAGCAGCGTCCCCAGACGACCCAGCAGCTTCGTGAGTGGCTTGCTCAGCGTGGGACGTCGGGGGGCAGTGGCCGCTGTTCTTATGTCATTCGCACAGGTGACCGCAAGGGACAGACGTGTGGGAGGTTCCACACCCCGTACCGCTGCTTCTCCCGCCTTGACGACGCTTGGCGTGAGGAGATGGGCGCGGATGTTGAGCGCCCCCGCTGGGCTGAGCTCATGAGGGCTGGTGTTGATGTCTTTGCTCTTGACTATGATGCTATTATTGCTGCCATGTATGCATTGACTGTTAGTGCCGAGGGAGACTGTTACTTGTGTGTGCCGCCTGACCCAGGTATAGAGCCCGCTGCCCTGGGTACTAGTGAGTCTGCTCTCTCTGGTATGGTGCCCCCTGTACTTGCTCCCCCCAGTGCTGTCCTGGCTGGTTTCGAGTCTGCTCTCTCAGGTACAGCACCCACAGAGACTGCTCTCTCAGGTACCGCACCGGCTGAGGCCTGTCACACCTTCACCCTTGACTCAGGTGCTTCCCGTTGCTTCTTTCGTGACAGTACTGAGCTCACACCGCTTCCTGCACCG